TTGATCCCAGGGATCGCCTCCTTCTCGTCCCTGGGGACGGCTTTCAGCATGGCCCGGGCATATTGTGCCCCGTCCGGCTAGCGGGGAGAATTATCTGCACCAGAAACAGACGGTGAGAAACTCGCATATGCTCTGCCTATAGATTGCCGGCTGATTGGAGAATCCCCCGGCTGCGATCGAGACTGTGAATAAGACTTGACCCGCATGGGCAGGTCAAGCAGTGTAAGGTCGAAGTTACCTTGGCGGCCCGAACGGCCTTCAGAGGGACCGGTTGCGGTCCTCAATGGGATGGCAGAAAGCACATCCGCAGATCCAGGCCCGCCTGGGACCTTTATTGATTTGCCGCCGGTAGTTTGCCGGTCGGCTGTCTTCTGCACCTTGGATGCAGACTCTTGTTGGGTCGGCGGAGGCCTGACCTGTTTTTGAAGGGACCGGGGCATCTGCTTCCCGTCCTGTAAACGAGAAAAATATAAGTTATGGGATAAAAGGATTGAAATAAACGAGAAGGATCAGACGGTTATACCTTCCTCGCCGCCTGGGCAGCAAGTTTTTTCTCGAGATTGGCTTTCCGGATGTCGGCAGCCGACCTAGCCGGTGTCTTCTCGGTGGGCAGCATTTTCTTGGCTTCTTCTGCAGAGGAAGGCACACGGTTAGAATAATAAATAAGAAAGGAAATAAAAGCATCCGATTCGAAAGAAACCGGCTGAGTTCCGAATACATACGTTTTTTAAACATGCTGCTTAGACCACAAGCGGACAAGAAGCATTCGTCCCTAAAAAATTCATGTTTGGGCACCCAGTTTCTAGGTACCCTTACTATCTCTCCGGATGAGAGGGTGTCAAGAACTAACTCAAAAAACCCGGAGTCAAGGATGGTCTCTCTATCATCCTCCGGGACAGGGGGCAGGCAGCACTTGGTCCCCAAGAGTTCTGGTTTCCGGTTGTAGATCCGGAATTCTCTGTTCTCTGCCGTAGTTGGGGCCTTAACCAAGTAGAACCGGTGCTTCCAGTCCGACCATTTGGATGGCTTGTCCAAGGTCATAAGGTATTTGGGCTGGGTGGTCAAGGTATACCAGGCTCTCCAGCCGCCTGGGCTCCTACTCAAGTAATGCATGTGGGCAAACGCCTCCCAGCCGGGGTTGAGGCCCTGCATATCGCAGGCGGCGATATACCCTAAAATATTTACCCATGAGTTGGGGGTTAATTGCCAGAGACCTAGGCCATACCCCCTAAGTATGGCTTTTATTGTGTCGTGGAGAGGGAAGCGGACTCCGGCCACGAAGGCCGCCTCGTAGCACCCGAACCAAGCGTTCGCGTTCGGTTGTCCATCCTCCCACCATATTGTTCCCAGAGCAGCCGGGATTTTTATTGTATAGTCACCCCCCAGCGGCCGCCGTTTGATAAAATCTGGCAGCGCAGCCCGCATGAGCTCGCGGTCCTTAGAGGAGACGGCGATCATGAGAGGATCGTTCCTATTATCCCAAGAAGGCCTCTCCGCCTCCTCGCTATCCTCAGATTCGGTTAAGTAGCTGCTACTGCTACTTTGAACGTGACCGGCATCAGAGCCGGCTGGGGAGTTGGAGACCTTATCAGAGCCTACCTGCTCTCTGGTCTCCTGGAGGGGAGCAGTCTCTTCGTTTAAAATGCTATCACCCGGGGTGCTAGGAGCGCCCCCGGGTGAGCCTCTCTGCTCTACCTCTCCTTGCTCTACTTCACCGCCTGAAGCTGGGACCTCAGGCGGCTGCTCATCTGAGCTCCCACTTCTGTAGTTGGGATCTCTGGCAGTAGACCGGATTCTGGCCATTGTGTTCTGCACAGACACAGAGTCGGTCGATATGGGTGTTGAAAAAGGGTTGTCCCAAAGAACAGAGGCGGCAGACCCAGTTCTAGACTCAGCCGTACTAATAAACCGGCTGAGTTCACAGCTAGGTTCCGGGTATGGGTATAAGGGGTCCATCTACTTATGGGACCAATGAACAAAAATGCGAGTAAAAGACTCAAACGGAAATACATGAAAAAGCTAGAAAGAATAGAGACGGTACCTAGAAGAAAATCTGGAAATTCTTTGGGATGCTTGCGAAGACGCAGGCGGTTCAAAATCCGGCTGGGTTTCTCTGATTACCCTCTCGAAAACCTTTGGCTAGCTTGCAACGACCCAGACGGTCTGTAGACCGGTTGCTCTCAACGAATCTCAACTCCGAATGCTCTCAACTCTCAAATTGCCGGCTGCTCTCAAATTTTCAGAAATTTGGCAAAGTTTGTAAATGAGAGCTCGGGGGACATCTTCTCCTATTTATAGAATTTGTCCCAGAAGGTGAAAAGTCGTGACTCTTCGCCTTCTGCTTTTCCATCCTTCAAAAAGAATCTGAAGAGTTGTAAAAAAAAAAAAAAAAAAAAAAAAAAAAAAAAAAAAACCTTTCACCGGCGCCACGTGGCACCCTGCCACGTCAGCACCAGTGAGGGGCAAATGTTTGGGGTAAAAATACCCTAAACACGTGGCCCAATGGCCTAGTGACACGTGGCATCCAGCCGTTGGTCAGCAGGGCTCCAATCCTCTGCTGACACGTGTCCTCTAAACCCTAAAAGGGAAACCATCTCTTCCCCACTATAAATAGTGGAAGGACCCTCATTAATGGGAGGCTGGAACATTTGTTGTTCACATTGAATACTCCTCAAAAAGAAAAACACTTACCCCGAGCAATATTAATTGCAGAATTCTCCCATTACGCGAGAAGTAACTTCTACATTACGTGCATTCTACCTCCCGTATCTTTACTAACTTGATCGTCGGAGGCGGAGCTCCTACCCCCAGGAGTCTTCGTGATTTTGCAGGCACAGGCGTCGAAGGGCATTCTTGGAATTGTAACTCTCCCGCAGGACACATCAAAAAACCCCGAAACAATAGATATTATAAAAGTGATTATGAAGTAAAGTAAAAGTTTAGATTTATATTAATAGATTTAAGTAGGGAAAAAAAGCAAAAAAAAATGCTTATCGGATTGGATTGGGTGACCGTTAATATTAAAATGATTCCCATAACCATACCCGATAACAAATTATCGGAACGAGTACCCGAACAGTTATGGTAATCGGATCGGGTACTCTAATTTTCGGAACGATTACAGATCGATTTTTCGGGTAATTTTGCTGAACCCTAGTTAGTATTATTATTATTTAGAGTCGTTAGTTATAGTTGCTCTAATCAAATTAGTTTTCTACGAGGACCACCGCGACATTATCCTCTTAAAAACATGCATGTTGCATGCCAATGTCTCCATTATTTAGAACGTAATAAAAAAAGGGTTTGAATTGGCATGTAATGTGTTGCTACGATTCCATGCTTAAATATCAAACTAAAAAAAAATATGGTTAGTGATAGCGAACGTATAGGGTTATGAATTTATTATCGATGTCGTCAGTAAGGGTATATTTAGGTCCTATTCTCTTCACCTTAAAAAAATAAAAATAATATTAAGTAAAAAAAAAATTCAGTTCAATAAAAATAAGTTCAGTTTAGTAAATTAATTTCAATTCAGTAAAAAAAAATTCAATTCAGTAAAATTAGTTCAGTTAAGCAAAATTCAGTTTTATTAAAGAAGAATTATAATAGAAAATCCGTAAAAATAATTTCAGTTCAGTAAAAATAATTTTAGTTCAGCAAAATTAAGGTGAAGAGGACGGGGCCTTAGTTTGCACTATAAGAGAGAATTAAACCCAATTCACTTCACTTTAAAAAAAATAATATAAAGTAAAAATAAGTTCAGTTCAGTAAAACTAAGTTTAGTTCGGTAAAATTAATTTCAGTTCAGTAAAAATAAGTTCAGTTAAGTAAAATTCAGTTATCTTAAAGAAGAATTATAATAGAAAATCAGTAAAAATAATTTCAATTCAATAAAAATAATTTCAGTTCAGTAAAAATAATTTAAGTTCAACAAATATAATTTTATTTCAGTAAAAATAATTTCAGTTCAGGAAATTAAGGTGAAGTAAACGGGGCCTTATATGCCTTGTTTGACAATTAAATTTTAGTTGTTAATTGTTTCAAATAGCTGCTAGTTACCATCTATTTACACGAGTTGTTTTGCTTAGTTGATTACTAGGTTAGAATCTGTGCGATGCACGGTTTATATAAAACCTATTTTTAATTTGTACATTTTAAAAACAAATCGTAATTATACATGAATATAAATAAGAATTACATATATTTTTGTGATTTAAATTTTTTTTTTCATTTTCATCAAATACTTTTGGAGGGAAATTATTCAATACAATGCTGCCAAGTATCATTTTAGGTTCTTCTTTAGTAATATGTAATAGATTCTTCTATTTAAACAAATTGTGGTTGTGTGTTCTTATTGATCTATGTTTGGTGAATGTGATCAAATGATTGGAGCTAGTTTTGTATTGCAATTACTGTGTTGCTAATGTAAATGCAATGACAGAAATGCAACCCACCACCAATGGATATGGCGGGGACGTCGGCGAACATTAGTGCGTTTTTGTAAAATATGGGTCACTTTTATGAAAAAAAAATGTCACTTTTGTAAGAAAAAAATGGGTCACAAAATGTACGATGTGCAATAAAATTATTGTAAACCGGGGCATGCAAAAGTTTTTATTTCATAAATCAGGGGCATGTGCAGAAGGAAATTTGGAACTGAAATGATTAGAGTTGAACCGAACTAAAATTAAAATAAAGAGAACATGCCATAAACAAAGCTGAAATGAATAATTTATTTCATAAAAAATTAATCCATAGGAATTAAAGTAAATTTTGTAAGAAAAAAAACGAATTAAACTAAACTGAAATTATGCTACACAAAATAGAACCTAAGAAAGATATCGGTAATCTGTCAAAAAAAAAAAAAAAAAAAAAAAATATCGGTAAGCCGGTTAGGTATTGGGGTTGGCAGTGTTGGCATGCATGTGGACCTTTGAAGTTTGAACCCCTTCCCAAAGAAAAGAATAAAAAATATTGAGATGTATATTTATTCAACGAATATTCCGGATCGGCTAATCAGAGAAGTGTGTGATGACCTCTGCTTTCTGAAAGCCCCTTGTTTTTTTTTATATTAATTAAACAAAAGAAAAAAGAAAAGAATACCCTAGTAATTTAAAGGTGGCGAGTGCGCTGCAATTAGAGTGAGCCACCTCTTCTATAAAGTATCGAAGTGAGTAGTCTAATTTAGAAGATTTGTCTGCCTCATCTGAGTTAATCGACATCAATAAAAATCGGTATGTTTCTGATCTAAGATTTGATTGTTGATTGTTGATTGTTGATTTATTGATAGGGTTTAGTATTGAATTGTCAGGAATTAATTGAGAGAATGGGAAGTTCAGAGTTATCATTCAAATTGGCAGATCACCCTAAGCTGCCAAAGGATAAGATATTGGCTTTGATTGTGCTCGATGGTTGGGGCGAAGCTAATCCTGATAAGTACAACTGTATCCATGTTGCTGAGACTCCCACCATGGATTCCCTCAAGCAGGTTAAGACTTAGAGAGATTGTTTCAGTTTTGATTAGAGTTTTGATGGTTTCAGGTTTTCATTTGATTTTATAATTGATTTATTTATGAATTATTTCAGATTAAGAGAGATTGTTTCAGTTTTGATTAGGGTTTTATCATTTGATTCGATTTGATCAATTATCTCCAGGGTGCCCCTGAGAAGTGGAGGTTGATTAGGGCTCATGGTACCGCTGTTGGACTTCCATCAGAAGATGATATGGGCAACAGTGAAGTTGGACACAACGCTTTGGGTGCCGGCCGTATTTATGCTCAAGGGTCTGTTCTTCTTCTTTTATCTCTGGTTATTTCTTCTTTACCTTTGCGATTTTAATTTTACTTTTAGTAAGCTCTTGCTCAACAACACATAAATCTTTTTTTTTTAGGGCCAAGCTTGTTGACAAAGCTCTTGCCTCTGGGAAAATTTTTGAGGATGAAGGTTTTAACTACATCAAGGAGTGTTTTCAAACTAATACAGTTCACTTCATTGGTTTGCTAAGTGATGGAGGTGTTCATTCTCGTCTTGATCAGCTACAGGTATTGATTTTCTTGAATCATGAGTCAAGTCTACGTAGGTTTTCATTTTTGTATTGTGTTATCATTTTGATATTTCTCCAATTTGTGCTAACTTTTGTTTTTCTTACTTTACAATTGCTTCTTTTCAGTTGTTATTGAAAGGGACCGTTGAACGTGGTGCCAAGAGAATCCGTGTTCATATTCTTACTGATGGCCGTGATGTTTTAGATGGTTCAAGTATAGGCTTTGTAGAAACTCTTGAGAATGATCTTTCACAGTTACGCGAGAAAGGTATCGATGCCCAGGTTGCATCTGGTGGTGGTCGCATGTATGTTACTATGGATCGCTATGAGGTTAGTAGTCATTATAAGTTTTACAGCTTGTTGGACAATGTAGTGCATTATGTATTTGTACTTTGATTCCTGTGCCCACTGTCTTCCTTTTGTATTGTTTTTAGAAATTACACATTAAGGGACAATGTTTGCAGATGAATATTCCATATTTGACTGTTAGACATCACATTATCAGTGAAATATTGACATTTTTAGTGTGCTGCTTCTCTTGATCGATTCCTTTACTGGTTTTGTTTATCTAGCTCAACATAAAGACCTCTAGTAGACTAGCCATTTTGCACATTTTACTTCCATAAATACCATACATGCTCCTCCCCATTGTATTCTACACACGTGAAACTCACAACTTTCTTGCCTTATAGTGGTAATTTAGCCCAATGGGAAAAGACTTGGGCTATAAGACCATCTATTGTATCCATTAAAATTCCTTTAACTGCGCTTTTTTGTTAGCCTACTTGGATAGGAGGGACCAAATTTGTAAGTTTTCTTTATCCTCTAAAAGAGGTTTGTGAAACTGATGTTGCTGGCTGCATATAGATTGGATATGCTCCTAAAAGCTTGATTCTTAATGACATTTGGCAATAATATTGATACGTACTTTATGGTCTATGGGTCTTCGTTTAATTTCTAGATGCTAGAAGTATACTTAAGTTGAGGCCATAAATGATTTTTATTTATGGCTGTATGCAGTGAACATTTGTGGATTTATCCTTTATTCCAACCCAAACCTTCTTTTTTTAGTATCCCTATGCAGTTTTTGTCCTTTACATACTTGATTTGGGTGTAGTTGATACTGATTTTTCACTTACTGCATAAATAATTCTTTGCTGAGTGCATTTTATCTTGTTCAAGTTTGTCCATACTCCAATTAATTGTCTGTGCATCTTGCCCTTTGTTTTGTAGAATGATTGGGAGGTTGTGAAGCGAGGATGGGATGCTCAAGTGCTTGGTGAAGCTCCATACAAGTTCAGGAATGCAGTTGAGGCTGTCAAGAAATTGAGGGAGGAGACTAAGGCTAACGACCAGTATTTACCACCTTTTGTTATTGTGGATGAGAATGGAAAGGCTGTTGGTCCGATAGTAGATGGAGATGCTGTTGTCACATTTAATTTCCGGGCTGATCGCATGACTATGCTTGCGAAGGCGCTTGAATATGAAAAATTTGATCACTTTGACAGAGTTCGCCATCCTAAAATCCGTTATGCTGGTATGCTTCAATATGATGGAGAGTTGAAGCTTCCCAGTCATTACCTTGTTTCTCCTCCGGAAATTGAGAGAACTTCTGGGGAGTATTTAGTTCACAATGGTGTGCGAACATTTGCTTGCAGGTGAGTGTTAATGGTTTCTGATGTTGCATACCTGCTGATTTGTTTATACCTAATCAATATTGCTATAATAATCTAATTGCTTATGTTGCTATACTAGTGAGAAGGATTAATGTCATATTGTCATGTCATGCTATCTGATTGGATTTATGCAGAAATGATTCTACATGCTCTTGAGAATGTGCTGAAGTAGTGTTGCACTTTGATTAATATGATGGAAGATAATCCTTTTTTTCACTGCCTTTCTGCTTTATTTGCCATTGATCTTTGCTTAGATAATAGTATGCCCTGTCAAAAGCACCTACCTTCAATTTCTCCATTATAGACTAGGACTCCTGATAGAATTTGATGATTATTTTTTACTTGAGGTTTAGCTTAAGATTAGCTTGCTGTAATGCTCTTTCCAGTTCAGCTGCAATGTAGTAGTGAATTCTCTTTTTTAAAGTCTTCTTGTGGCCTGCTTCGGCATGATATATGAACCAGTAAAAGCCCTGCTGTTTTAATTGGAGATGTGTTGCATTTGGCTTTCTGCATGTGTTTTTAGCTGTGGTTTAACTATTCAAGGCAATTACTTGTCGTAACTTTTTCAAATGATCTCTTTTCCATGTTACAGTGAAACAGTCAAGTTTGGACATGTTACCTTTTTCTGGAACGGGAATCGCTCAGGTTACTTTAACTCTGAATTGGAGGAGTATGTTGAAATTCCTAGTGATAGTGGCATTAGTTTTAATGAACAGCCTCTAATGAAGGCTTTGGAGATTGGTGAAAGGGCAAGGGATGCCATTCTGAGCCGCAAATTCCATCAGGTAACTAGAAATTCCTTTTCGTAGCATCCTTGAAGGAGCTCTTTACCCTTATAAGGAAAAAAAAAAAAAAAAAGGAATAAAAAAGAACTAATAATTTTTTTTAAAAAAAATCTGTTCAGATCCGTGTCAACATACCCAATGGTGATATGGTTGGCCATACTGGTGATGTAGAAGCCACAGTTGTTGCTTGCAAGGCTGCTGATAAAGCTGTCAAGGTACACTTCTTGCTGTTGTATTTGTTTTAATCTCATTTCTACTTCCAGGTTTACTCATGCCCTCTGTCCAGTGGCAGTCTCTGATGTTGTACTTGGTTTGACCTTGTATGCTGGGGTTGAGGTGATTGAAATGTGGACTTTTTTTTTTTTTTTTTTTGTTTTTTTTTTTTTTTTTTTCTCTTCCTATTTTGAGGATGACAGATGTGAGTGAGTTATTGGTCATCTGCCTCTATACTAAATTTTAGGTGAATGTAATAATTTGGACTCGTTAAAACAGTAGAGGTCCTCACATCATTTCCCTCTTTGAACACTTAAATTAGCTTTACCATGACTGCCAGTTCATCTGTCTATATATTTCTTGGTGCTTCAAGGTGTTCATAGCTTATACCTTTCTTTTATTCTCCACTCCCTCTATACCCCCCCCCCCACCAAAAAAGAAAAAAAAAAAAAAAAACTATTTTCCATTTTTCTTTTTAGTCTTCGAAGTAATGTAAAGAACTCCTGATGCATGATTGAGTTCTTTAAAAATTAGTTTGAGATGTCAAATTGAGAAGTGCCTAGATTATTTTTCTTACTCCACAAATTAAAGTCTTGTTTCCGTAAATGAGATCTGGACTGATTGTCAATCAAGAACTGATTTTGTCAAGGATCCAGATTAAGATCCACCTGATCCAGTGTCTAGTTCATCATGTTTTACTTTCTTACAATCTTTACAACTACATTAATTTTGGTTAGGAAGTTTAATATATTAAAAAAAATAAAGTTTCATAAATTAGTTTGGTGTCTAGAAAATACTTCTATAAAATTGTACCTATTACAAAATGGATCCACAGGTTCTACATTGACTTCATTCTTGTCTCAAAAATAGGATTTGTATCCAAATTTTCAGACCATGGATCTGGATCTGAGGATACAATCCTGCTTTTTACTCTATTAACCAAAGAAAAATACTCTCTTCCTGCTATTTACTCTCACTCAATGTGCATGCCCAGAGAGTATGTTTCACATGGTGAAGAAATAGTTTGTTGTAAAAGGGGAATAAAGTGAGCATGAATAGGTGTCGTGCTGCGAGTGTGACCCTCTTGGTGTGTGCGCAAATACCTACAAGAGTGGTTTAATCGAGGAGACTTGTAATTGTTGATTTAAAAGGATATAATTGGATATAATTTTATGCAAGTCTTTCAAAATATGTTAATTGTGGAAACTCCACTTGGATTAAGATATCAATGTAAGATGGTTTTTGTTCGTAAATCACACACTATTGAGATATCTCTGCCGTGCCTTACTCGCAATTACTTTTGATCAACTACTTAACTATGAATTTGAAGAGATTGCTTCATTACAAATCTTAAAGGAATTTTACTCAATAGAGTTTTTCTCGTGCTCTCAAATCTCAATGGTCCCATTGACTCATGCTATATTTTAACATGTGGTCAACCCTTGTCTGTTAGTGTATCTATTTGAGATTTAGAGGTAGTCATTTTGATTGGTTGGATGCTTTGCAGATGATATTTGATGCCATCGAGCAAGTTGGTGGAATATATGTTGTTACTGCTGATCATGGAAACGCTGAAGACATGGTAAAGAGGGACAAGAAAGGGCAGCCTCAACTTGACAAGGACGGAAAAGTTCAGATTCTTACATCTCACACGTTACAACCGGTATGTGGTCTGGTTGGTGATTACATAATGTCCTTTTATATTCTGACATTTGGGGGGTGGGGTGGGTCGGGGAGCTGGGAGTTTCTACCACTCTTGATTATCAAGAGGCCTACAGTTGACAATACGATACAATGAATACATGTATCAGATGGTCTTATATTCGGTTTAGGTGCCCTTTTTAACTTTTGGTCTTCACTGATTTTAAAATCATATTTCCGACTCTGCTATGGTCTTTCCCCACCTCCCCCCCCCCCCCCCCTAAAAAAACCTGGGTATTACTTCCTTGGCCATAGGAAGTATTATTATGCAAGAAGAATTTTCTCTTAATTATTTGGTATTATCTCATTTAGGTGCCAATTGCAATTGGTGGTCCTGGCCTTGCTCCTGGTGTTAGATTCCGCAATGATGTACCTGATGGTGGTCTTGCCAATGTTGCAGCCACGGTGATCAACCTACATGGATATGAGGCTCCTAGTGACTATGAGCCAACCCTTATTGAGGTTGCAGACAACTAGGCTAGGGACTAAAGATCAGTAAAAACCCTTCATATCGTGTAATAAAAAAAATTATCTGGAGGAAAGATCCTGGCAAAACAGTTTTGAATTTTGATTATCTTTATTTGTTTTACAAGATTCAAATCAGCATGGTGGTTCATTACTTCAGTTCATTGAGTCTACTGGTTATATTTTTCCCTGTTTTTTATTGTTATATCCTTCTAGCCCTTTGATCTTTTAAGCTTATTGCTTTATTGTTTGTTATTGTCCTTATGGACCTTAATAATGGCTATGCAAGCTAATGGCTTTTATCAACTTGTCATTTTTGTAATCTATTAAGTCTAAAACACTTTTCTTTTTAAACCCAAAAATCGTTAATCATCAGTCGCTTTTGTCATTATTTTTTTATCAATTAAGCTGGCTTAACGTAAGAATTATGATAGCATTCAGCAGCTGACTTACTCACTTGGAAGAGGAGCTTACTTTTGTGATATCTGCAGATCTAGAAAGATGTTGACCATAGCAATTCCCAACTCCCCAAGTATTCATAAGTCGTCAGGAAGCTTATTCTGACAAATCTAACTGGCCGTGTATAATTTGGAGCATAGAATTCAAATCTTCACATTTGCAATTTGCAAGCCAATTCCTGAAATTAATGCCAATTTAAGCACTTTCACTTTTCTTTTGTCAAAGTTGCTCACTAACTTTCACCATCAATCTTACCAATACACTGTCTACAGCATATGAATTTTTTCCATGTATTATAATTGTCAAACCCATTAATTATGGGATTTTTACACTCCTTGCAAATGAGGTGGTAAACAACCTCAATCAAAATTATGGAAATTTGATTTAAACGAAACAAGATTAGAATATTCCTAAGAATTGGAAATGTGGAGTAAGTTTCCATGAAACATTACTTGAAAATGTAAACAAAACAAACATTAAAATGTGGTTGTTCAAGGAGCTTAATTGGTTAAATTTTGAGAGAATTAGTCCTATTTTTCTTTATTTTTGTTGACTTGGTCACTACACAAGACCTAATCCACGATTGGACTCTAAGTCTTTGGACCCAATATTGTGTCATACAGCCCAAATCGGGGAAGGTCACGAGAAACACGAACAAGGATAAGGGTCTGTTCTCATTGACTTAACTCAGCTGAACTGAACTGAATTGAGTTGAACTGATATGAATATTTTATAAGAGAAGGAAATTAGGAGCTGAACTGAACTGAGCTGAATTGAGCAAAACTGAACTGAACTGAATTTTAACGTATGAGAACAGACCCTCAAATCATCAAATCTATAATCAAACTACAATTTATGTTTCTTTAAGCTTTCTTAATTTCTTGGCATCCTAGGCTTGATAGCCTAAAATAGTATTGTGAATTAGTGGCAATGATAAACTGATAACGGTAGAGTGTTGTGAACTCGTGGAGAGATTAGCAAATTTGCAATTGTGATTAATAATGAAGTAACTCTCCCTTCTTGGATCTAATTTAATCGTTAGTCTATTTCTCTCTCTAAACCCTCATACTTGTATTGTATTCTCGTTTGATGATCAATTAATTTATCTTTAATCTCTTGCCGCATTAGTCATATGTATGTTGTACACTTTAACTTAAAGGCTAGTGATTCTTAAGGGCACACCCCTACGATACTCTTTCCCTACATAGGAGCATCATTGACTTGTTTGCATTTTTGCACCAACAAAAGGGTGGTATCCAAAACTTGTGATCAAATCTCGTCTACATCATTTGTCCCAGATTTTTGTACACCTAAATCAAGCACTAAATCATCTAACATAAACATGATCCAACGCCATTACAACTCAATTAAAAAACATCTAAATTAGACTGACCCACTATTATTTCATAATCGACCCAAACCAATTTGCATCCAAAAGATTTTAACAAGAATTAGAACTGAATTGTCAACCTGAATGGACAATGTTCGTTGCTTTAAAAGTGGAACAATCAATTAAATAAAAACAGAGGAAATAAAAAGTTGTGTATGACAAAATAGATGAACAAAGTCTTTTATTTTTAATACAACGAAAGAAGATTATTTACACGAGATTAACAAAGTCTAGCAAGGTAAGGTCATGATCGAAACATAATATACTGAATAATCCGTTAAAAATCTAAAAATTAATGAATGTGAGAGGGGGATTGGTAAATTAAGGAATTAGGGTGGGCGTCAAAGCCGCGTGGCCAGGGGTTTTACACTTGATAAGAAATGTAGACGAGAAAGACACGGTTGATTCGTTTCATTGTCGACCATTATTGTCCAAATAATTTATTATAGAATAATTTGATTAATACGAAATCGTAGGTTGAAATGTTGAATGGAATTATAAAAACACAAACCAAACCCACCCTATAAACTTAACTCCTGTCTGTCTGACTGATTGCCATTGGATCTGGATCCATCAATCATCGGCATTAAGTAATTAATTATTAAGTAAAATTAGATGGGAGAAGAAGTAACAACGGATCAAATGGATCAAGCATCAAATTCGGAGAAGATGGAAAAAGAAGCGAGTAGAAGGAGATTGAGCAGGAAAAAGTCATCGGTATCAGCTTCACGTTCATTCAAGCTAAGAAGCGAGAGCTTGAATTCATTGAGGCTAAGGCGTGTGTTTGATCTGTTTGACAAGAACAAAGACGGCCTCATCACTGTCGATGAAATCAAACAGGCACTTGTACTGCTTGGCCTTGACGAAGACAAGGAAGATGATCATAATAATGATGACATAGAGCTCCACTCCATTGTCACCTCCTTCATCAAGCCTGGCTACCACGGCCTCGCTTTCGACGATTTCGAGTCCCTTCACAACTCCCTGCACACCACCTTCTTCTTTGACTGCCATGATCATAATGATCACTTTCAAGATGTAACCCATCACCAACAAGATCAGGTGGAATCTGATCTCAACGAAGCTTTTAAGGTGTTCGACTCCGATGGCGACGGATACATCTCCGCCACTGAGCTTCAGCAAGTGCTTTCCAAATTGGGTTTCCCAGAGGCACAACAAGAGCTCCACCACATCCAGCACATGATCTCCTCCTTTGATGACAACCACGATGGCCGTGTTGATTTCTTCGAATTCAAGCATATGATGTCCCGTACCCTTCTTCTTCCTTCTGCTTAATTAATAAATTAGGCTTCTTTTCTTTTCTATTTTACCAATATGTCGTCCACAATTATTTTACTTTTGCATTTGTTCTGCCTTGTTCATTTACTGGATCACATATATCTATTCTAATAATTTTATCTATCATCTACGTTTATACTCTACAACTTTCCTGTATTCAAATTCCTCACAGGCTAACTACATCTTCCTGTAATCGAATTCTTTACAACCTTATTTATCATTAGATTGCATCATCATCACAATGATTCAACTCATTCTACACTAAAGCTCATTCAGTCTTGTGTTTATTTTAGACCTAATTTATACACATTTTTCTTAATGACACTCGTAATATGTAGTAAAGGACATACTTTGTCAGCATCTTCTATGAAAAGAAAGATGGAAAATATCTGCTTTCAGGAACTCAGGAAGGCTAACTATTGCAGGGAAGACAGTAGAAGAAAATTTCATCACCCAATATTAGCAGAAAAGCACATTAAATCAATTGTGAAATTTTCTTGTTTGTTTATACTCTTAAGAAGGCAACAACAATTTCTTATCTTCATCATCCCCGACAAATATATCTTTATACAAACCAGAGTTCTCACAAGCATTTCAACAAGTTCATGAAATTATATCACCAAGCAGATGACACGTTCAACAGTAATCATACATTGAAAATATTACACCAACAATAGTCCCTATATTCAGTGAAATCCTACACCATTTCTAGAATTGAGACTTGTCAAGATTATCAAAGTATGGATGATCCAGTGCTGCCTTGGCCGAGATCCTTTCAGCTGGATCATATTTGAGCATTTTCTACAAACCCAAAACAAAGAATCTCAGTTGTCTTTTTTCAAAGGTATAAAAAAATACTAAATTGAATTAATATATGGGATGAAATAGCAATATAGATCTGCCTTCATCATTTCTCTATCATTAGGATATCAAGGCAAATTCAAAAGGATGTTCAAAATGAAGTTAGGAGGATATTCATTAGTCTTTAAACAAATTTAAATCACTCCCCTTTCCATGACCTACTTTTGTTCAGCTTCTCTTCCCTTAAATGACTTGTATTGTTGACATACTTAAAAGTAATCACTTAATCTAAAATCTAAATAACAGTGACACTAGAAAGCATCTGGCAAATGCAACTTAAAGAGTATTTTTTACACCAAAAAGATTTTAAATTACATTGAGTTGTGGGGTCTTGTAAGTCATAAGAGTGTAGCTTCAAGTATTAACTTTTTCTGTAGATTTTAATTGGTGCACATGTCAAGCTTACCATCTAGCAGATGGGGAACATTTGTTTGAAAGCATACTTATTGTAGATTAGACTTGAGAATTGTGCTGGCAAAGCGAGATGAGAGGGAAAAAATGCAGTTGGGTTGCACAAATTAAAAAGGAAAGATAGAAATGGAGGGGCAGAAGAAAGGATAGACAACAAAACAAAGCCATGAAAAATAATTATTGTCAAATTTTGAGACCCAAACCCCTGACTCCACCACCACCACTACCTACTGATCTAACCTTCTCCCCCTCCTAAAGTGCATCATTTCTTGGTGTTGTTATATATGTGACTTGCATTGGATCCTGTTATCAAGAATTTCATTCATGTGCAATTTCTACTAAGAGCATGTTTGGTTAGTGTATTTTTTAGGTTGGAAACAGATTTGGTTAAACCATTACCATTATCCAATGTTCGATAAAGAGATTTGGTAACAATTACCTTTACCTAAGGACAAGGGATTCCACCCAATTGTTACCACTCTAATATCTAAGCTAACATAAATCCTTACCCTCCTCACACATATTGATTCCTATCCATATTTAAACCAAACAAATGAAAAGGTAATAGTTACATGATTCCTTTTCCCCCTCTTATTTGTTTCCTTTGCACTTTGTTTCCATTGTTCTAATCAAACACCCCCTAAATAGAGGAATAAGTACCACAATTGATGTAGCTGCGGAAAAACCCATCAAAAATAGGAATGGATGTGAAGTACTCACAGATAAGAGATCAACACCATCGGCCCCCAAAGATGGAACTGCTCGAGCAAGATTCTGAGATTCCCACACAGGATACACATGCCAGTCCCGCAGAGCAGTTACTCCAGGCCACTGCTCCTCAGTTGGAGTTCCCAACAACCTGACATGATCAACAGAAAAAAAACATGAACCTCTTTTAAATTTGCTAAGGTTTCTCTTTACAATGTATTTTTAGTGCAGCAAAAACTTCAACAATGAAACAGCAAATGCAAGGGTAATGAGATGAAGTTGACATGAATGAAGCAAAAGCAGAAAACAAAGTTAATTGGTACCTGAAAATGTGTAAAAGTTGTTGAAATTCTGAATCACCAGGAAACAAAGCTTGCCTTCTCACCATTTCAGCTGCACAAGGATGAGCATTAATTGGAAAATCATGCAGTTTAATAAGGCAGGTGATCAAACAGAAGACTGAGAAGAGAAAAAAGAGTTTACCAAAGATGCAACCAACAGACCAAATATCAACGCCAGTGGAGTAATGGGTAGAACCAAGCAAAACCTCGGGTGCTCGATACCACAGGGTGACGATCTGGAGAGGTTAATAAGATGACATTGTTACAAAGAAAGAAAAGGAAATGAATAACAGAGAAAGGGAAAGAGATATAACCTCGTGGGTATAACTCTTCATAGGGACAGTGAAAGACCTTCCAAGACCAAGATCAGCAATCTTAAGAATACCCTTATCTTTGTCAACAAGAAGATTCTGGGGCTTGAGATCTCTGTGAAGAACACCATGACTGTGGCAGTGAGCAACACCCTTAAGAAGTTGAAAGAGAAAGCTCTGAACCTGAGTAGGAGGGAGAGGACGAGGATTGGGACCCTTGCGATGAGAATCGATGAATTTCTTAAGATCGGTGTCAAGATACTCAAACACCAAGTACAGTAAGGGTTTCGCAATTCCAGTGGTGCTGTTCTTCTTGTCAACATGTTCAACACACAGCAATCTAACAACATACAGAGATTGAGACAGCATCTGCAGCAGTGAAACTTCTCTCAGAGCAGTCGGTGGTACTCCCTCTTCGTCCATTTCAAGCCTCGTCTTCTTCAGAGCCACCAGTTGTCCCGTCGTTTTCTCCTTTGCCTTGTATACCTTTCCGTAGGTTCCTTCTCCTACCTTCTCTAACTTCTCGTACTTGTCCATTTCCAGGAATCTGATTGATTGATTCTTCGATTGATCTTCCTCGATCTCACAAACCCTAATTTTCCAGGAGCGCCCCTTTTTAATTTTGAATTTCCCCCTTCTTTCACATAACTAGTCCACTCCGTCATCCCTTTTTATTTCTACTCCCCTCTTCCCCTTTTCTTTTAGGTTACCGTTGCACTTTGCACTTTCTATACCCTTTTTTCTTTTTTTTTTTTTGTTCAATACAACAATTTCAAAATTCAAATCTATACTATATACTAGGGTTGTACACGCAATGTAGTGATGCTAGTGAGCGAGGCCGAAAGTGTGACTTTTTTTTTGGCTAGTATGTTTGCTTTCTTAATAGACATTAAAATAAACGTAAGTTAATTAGTAAACATAAATGTCGATAAATAGAATTGTGCCGATAGAACAAAATTGTTTAATTATTTAAGGAATTGGGTTTGAGATTTTATTTAGACTATGTTATGGGGTGTTTTATTGTTTAAATCTCATATTAGTTTGTTTGTAACAATTTTTATACACAATAATACAAGTTAATAGAACTACAAACAATAGAGAATTAACATGTAAGTGATTACCCAACAAAAAAAATTAAGCTCAAAATAAGGCTAGGAATGTTCCTAGTCAATATCGCACATATTTTAAAATATTAAAGCTTCTTTTTTTGAAGCAAGATTAGCAGGCTATTTATTAAATATCGCTCTCCGCCAAGTAATTAAGCTTTGGAGAAAGGAGTTCATACAAACTAACTCCGTACTACCACGGGTGTCACACCTCGCAACGAGATGAGCCACCACATTGCCTACTCTCTTGACATGTGAAAAGTAACAAAAAATCAAACCATTTAGACATAGCTTTAATATCATCATAAATTAGCCATAGAGGAGAGAAACCCAAGTTGTTGTTCCTGCTACCCATCTACTAGCTTGTTGTAAACCGAATCTAACAGCAGCAGCTTCAGCACTTTCCACATCCATTCTCCTTCCAGCCGTCTGACAGTAGCCCACACCAAACCACCATTTTCATTTTGAGCCACAGCCCCAACCGAAGCAAACGACCCAGTAATATGGGCATCAATATTGATCTTGGTAATCCAAGCAGGAGGCTTCGTCCAAGATCTGACCATAGGGGCAGCAGGGGCACCATGCTTCACAAAGACTCGCTTAGCGTAGGAGCAATAATTAGACATAAGTTTAGCAAAACTCGCTGCTGTGTAGACAACATTTAGGGACTGTTGCTCATGAAAAAAATTTGTTCCTGCAATACCAATTAGACCAGGCTAGAGCAAGCAATATACGCAATTCCTGTTTCTCTAATTTGCTGTCAAACCACAACAAATTATCCATAAAAGAACCTACAGGAGCTTCATCAATCAGAGCTTGAAAGATACTACTCGCACATACCACTTTAGCCTTTGTGCATTCGAAAAGGACATGATTCACGGACTCCCCCACCAGGCTGCAGCAAGGACACAAATGATCAGTAGCAATGTGACGCCAAAAGAGCTCTTCCCTAACAGCCATACGTCCCTTAAATTAAAAGCTACTTGATAAAGAGCATTTATTATCCCTTGCTTTTCTTCTCCTCATATCCACAACCTCTAAAATAAACAATAAAGATCACTAAAAAGGAGTTTTAAAAAAAATAATGTAGAAAGGAGCAAACATATTTAAACAAATACAATAATTTGATAACCCAACATGCTAATCCCCAAACTGAACATATGAGTTTCTAATTAATAAGCAAATCAATTTAACAGCCTGAAACAATCAAAATGATGTGTTAAGATACTTAAGACCATGAATCATACTTGGGATTGTTCATGTTTGCTTTTATCCGTTATCAGGGGTAATCCTTGGATAGTACAAAGAATGTTTTCTCCCAAATAATTAAAAATGCATACAAATTAAACCAGTAGAAGAGTGAGGAACTTGAAGAGCAACAACAAGATCTCCAAGTTGAGCAACACCTGAACACCAGGAAATACTTACATATTTACATGGAAGTTCTAGCAACTCAAAAGTGACCCATGAGTTTAAACACAGATGAGGATTTTATCAAAGGCAAGCTTAATCTAAATTTGGTGTACATTAATTCCCACATACAATAAAAATAGATAATAATGACTTCAAGAAATGCACAAATATACATCTAAATTAAAAATGGCATGTTAAGATCTAGAACGGGAATATGATGACGGTTAGTCTCTTATATTGTTTCCCAAGAATACACAAGAACAATTCCTTAGTAGTGTGTTCTTATTTCTTTGGCTGGCACTTCATTACTTAATAAATGCAATCAGGCCCAACTCCAAGATTGTAACTCTGTAAGTGATGAGAAAAGAAAAACAAACTCCCTAACTACCAAACCAAAATACCATATCACAATAATACATAATTCATTTATTTATTAGAAGAAAATATGGTACTCTGTTCACAAAATGCTTAATTTAGTAATGTATAATAGCATTTGGTTATAAATCCTTGTTTAGATGGCAAATAATTAAGAGTTAGACATAAATAAATGATTTTAGTGCTTTATTATGAAATGAAATAGAATTATGAAGTCGTAGGAAAGAGTAAAGGTTTAAGAGTTAAGACTAATTAAATCTACAAAATTGATATTTGATAATTTAAAGAATAAAAAGAAAAATTTACCTCAAATACTACTTCAATGGAGGAGAGAACAAGGTACTCAAGAACAGCAGCTAAGTAAACAAGGGGCACCAGGCTCAACAAGATGAGCTAACCTTCCTTTCTTTAAATTTAATTCCATTATTATTTCATTATTTGTTCGTTGGATTTCATTATTGGCTTAAATTTCTAGATTTTCTATTCCACCTGCCAAACAAAAACTAATCCAAATTAACTCCAACAGCATGTACATTCTCTCTATAAATCACGAAACCATCCATGAATCTTACAGCCATTTCCTACAAACCCCAAGATTCCCTTCCCAAATGACATTGAACAACACAAGCTCAAATGCTCAACCAACCAAAACAATAGCAAATTTCAACATTGAAATTCAAATTCTACTCACATCAAAATCAATACAATCGATTCCTAGATTCAAATTTGACCCACATTTTGTAAGATCCCTAAACACAAATCCATACTTTTCAAAAACAAAATTAATTCAAATTGCAACAAATTAAATGACCTACTAAGAACAATATCAATAAATTGAGAGAGATACAAAAGAGTTACGAATTCTCGGATGATTCCCTAATAGACCAAGATAGGTTATAGCATGAGCTTAACAAAATTTGGATTTTACACAGGCATTTGTCAATTATACAATTGATGTTCTAACAATATATAGGTATTTGGTATGTTACCATGAGTACAAGGCAATACTGTCATGTACACATGTGTACAATATCTCTAAATAATTAATGGAAAGAAATGAAGACATCTTATACCTGCAATTAATCCTCCAATCAACTGAGTAAAAAGGGCAACCACAAATATACTACTCCCACAGACCACTTACACAACCAATAATGTGTAAATCCCCCTATGTTTTTTTAAAGGCTCAAAGAGCATACTATATTCGATAGTAAAAAAACATCAACCAACATCAAGTTCAGCAAGTGAGACAACAACCTACGGGAAATTATCTACGCACATATGCTCAAAGTCATTAGATGGGTATTGCTTAGCCATCAGTTGAGCAGCACAATTACTCAACCTTTTTTACATGAAAACAAGAGAAAATACTCGTATCAAACTCCCTATTCATAAACTTGTCACTATATCATCAATAATATTATAATCAGGTCCAATGATGCTTAACCTGCCTTTAATGAGCTGATCAGCTTAGTCACAATAAGAGTGCCTGACTCCAGCTCCACACGTTCATACCCATAAGCTCAAGCTGCTTTCCACTCCCATCCTCGCAGCCAATACTTCCAGAACCATGACAGAGAGATACCCCTTGACCCGTTGCACCTTAGCAGCCACAATTACGCCCCTTTCATCCCTTAACACTGCACCTAAGCAAAATCAAGGTGACTGATTATTATGCATCTCCTTTGTTCCTTTAAAACAGTGAAAGTTTTCAGAATACCAAGAAATTTTTTACAACATTGAAAACTATTACACTTAATCCAACTCACAATATAATTTCACAAACCAAACTAATTCAAGCAAAAACATAAATATCATACCAGCAGCCATAAGCATTTAGACTCGTTCGATCACTTGAATAGAAAACCATCACTTGAATAGAAAACCATCACTGTAAAATCCATCACTCTATCCCCAATTTGACTTCCCACTTTTCTTTTCAGGATGTAAGCAATAAAATTCCTTATTTCGTTTTTAAAGTTGAAAATTCACTCTCTTTCTATCTCATGATTCACATAAATAATCCTTTTATTTTCTTTCTCAACATCAATGCTTAAGTGCTTCTTCCTACTTTTCCATCTTTATCCAAAATCAATTTTCCCTTTAACTTTGGACATTATTATTTAATCTCTAGGCTTATGCCACTCAAAATGGAAAGCTAAATATAGGACATAGTGAGTATGGTTAAATGGCCAATAATCGAATACAAGATGTATTGGTCAAGTGAGTATGGTTAAATGGCCAATAATCGAATACAGTAAGTATGGTTAAATGGCCAATAATCAAATACAAAGCAGACAAAGGACGACACGGCTGAATGACCCATATAACAATTACGCCGCATCAACCACAACTTGTAAGTTGTAACGCAACACCATAATAAAGTATGTGCCACTATAATAATTGACCACAATGGTTAGAACATCAACAAACTTAAAAGTTAAAATCATGATACAAATAAACTGCCGGAATGAGCTGTTAGAAACTCAAAAGAACTTGCACATAACAAAGGGAGAATTACATAATAAGCCACCAGAAAACTAATATCCAGCTTCCTTTATCATAAGTAATAAATGTCTCTTCATTAACCAAAATAGAGAGAAAATATACTTGTCCAAGAAGAGCGGGAACATTATCGGGATCACCATCAAGTACAATCTTGAATGTATTAAATGCTTTCTCTACATCACCTTTAGCCAGTAAAAGCTGTCCTGCGGCATCAAAGATGATAAAGAGTTCACCAATAAATCATCATCACCTTAATACTCTCCTATATTATGAAGAAAATTAAACAATAACCCAGAAATTATTCAATCATGTAAAATAGAACGGAACAATTGAAAATCACAAGAATGAAGAATAGTGCACTACGGTAGAAGTGAAAAAGGCGAGATATTGCAAGCCAAGCAATTTTTTAAGATAAAAAATGCCAAGAAAGCATTTAATCATAGGATAAAAGATGCAAACAACCCCCTATCAAAGAAGATATCATCAATTAAATGGATTCAATGACACTCTGTCACACTTCTGAAATCCAATCCTAAGGAAATGTGGAATAGAACTACTGCATTTTTTTACTTGCCTCTTCCCATTACCATTAAAAAATAAAATCTCTTCACACACATATTTTTTTTTGAATCCGCATCAAAAACCATATTCTATGTTCACCGGAGCAAATCAAACCATATTGTATGTACATTGTACACCGGAACAAAACACTACCTTTAAAACACCATTATAAAGGTCGCTATTATTGCCAATATATACCACCTTAATTTTCAGGATCTAAACCATGATTGCCAATCATAATTGCATTTGGAGAAAATCTATTCAATAATCCATAATTTATAATTTCAATTAAAATAAGAAAAAAAATCCACATAAATTGCAACAACAATAATCATACCTTTACAATTTTGAATTTGAATGTGACGGATGAGAGAAAATACGGGGCTCCGAAGAAGACCCATTTGAATGAGATGGGTCCAAAGATGAATTGAATGATGGGGTTGGATTTGAGAAACAAGATGCCCGCAACTGTAATCGGCAGAAGGCGAGTTGACTCGGTGGTTGGTGGTAGCAAAACGCCGAGTTTCTAGATTGCAGTGGTGGCACCTGCATCTTACAAATTTCCCACAAATTAAAGTAAATTAATTCATAAATTGAATTTAAAAAACTTTGGAAAAAACAAAAATTAAAATTTAAAAAATACCTACCATGAGATATATCTCATACATAAATTTCAACAACAAAGCTTATAATTAAACTATTATGGAAGAACTTCAAAAGAATTTAACAAACCCAGAAATTAAAATTTAAAAAATAAATAAAAATGAATACAAACCAGTAGAATAGTGAGGAACTTGAAAAGCAAGCATGCCACAACCAAAAGATCTCCAGGTTCAGCAAACCAGAGCCGCCATTCAAGCGACCACCGCAAGAAACACCTTCACATTTGGCGGCTTCTTTCTTAACCACGCCATAATAGTATGGATCTTCTATCTCTGACGCCTCATCTTCTCTTAATTTCTTCAAATTTTGGGATTTATCCCTGAAATTAGGGTTTTTTGAATTCTAGAACATTATAATTGAAAGAAAAAAACTTTGAGTTGAGAGGATGACAAAGCTCTTGCTGGCAACGCATGCATTAGCTCTTACAAGATAGAGAAAGATGAGAGAGGAGAGAGCCAAAGAGGAAAGCAGGAAGCTGAGAAATGAGGGAGGGACGCAGGAGGCATAGAAGGGTCACAATCAACTCACGGCAAAAAAAAAAATAAACAAAGCCACATAGCTTTCTCACACATGCACCCCACACATGTGATCACTATTCATAAGGGAACAAGTGAAACATTTTAAGGTTTGTAGATAAGGCGTCCATAAAATTGTATATGTGTCACATCACGTGTCAAACCAGGTAATGATAGGAACGTTTTTCCAATTTGAGCTCTAAACGTAAACTAATGACAAAAATGGTTGCGTGGCAAAACTATTTACCAAACTAAGCTTCCAGGGTAAATCGCTGTCTCGGACAGCGTTTTACCCCTGGTTTTTTTTTAAAAAAAAAATCAACTACAACTATTTTATATGTTCAACATAAAGCGCTGTCTCAGACAGCGCTTTATGCTTGAACATAAAACGCTGTCTCAGACAGCGCTTTATGCTTGAACATAAAGCGCTGTCTCAGACAGCGCTTTTCTGCTGGAAACAGCAACCAGCATCCATGCAGAAAACAAGCTTCAGCAAACAGCTTGCATGCTGCAGTCCTCCAACAGCCACCACAACAGCCAGCTCCACAGCCCTACCCCACCACCGTCGACCACCAACTCCGCCACTCCCCACCACGTACCACCACCATATTCTGGGAGTTCCGTCAACTTTAAGCACTGCAGAAAACTCGAAACAGCCCAACAACAGTCCAACCACCAAATTAACTTCAAAGCACACACGGAGTCATTCAAAAAAGATTTATTATATTAATTTCATAAGTGTTATGTACATCATTACACAAAATAACAGGGAATACAACAGATAATACTAGCCCGACTCATTTATTCGGGATAAAGGTCCTGCCTCCTGAGTGTCGGCCCTCCGTCTGACACGTCGCCGCCTGTAATGAGTGACGGTGGTGAATGGGTCTCGGGGCGGTGGGGGAGTCAGCTGACTGGACGAGGGGTCCTCCTGGGTACCAGAGGGCGCAGTACTGTGGATGTTGTAATCCTCTGCGTGTCTGGGTGACGTAGGATCACATCCACCGCTGCTTTGGCCGAGATCGAACTGTGAGTTGCCATCATGACCGTCCCGCCGGTGGGCGAGATGAGCGTGACCATATCTCCGTAAGGTAGCGACGCCCATATCTCGCACCTGCTCGACCTGGGCTCTAGTGGTCCAAACTGCCTCATGACTCGGTCGGGCAGGTGACTCTCCACAACCTCGAAACAGATCAGGGGGACCCTAGCACGCCACTCCGCCTGATGGTCTAGCAGATGTGGAGGCATGGCATCTACCAAGTCAGGTACATACGGGTCCCATGTCACCTGTAAATACACATCAACAGTAATATTATGAATATGTTAGTTCGCAACAAGTACAATGTTAAAACAAAAAAGCTAAAACTGTATTTTAAATTGTTACCTGGTCCTCGGTGAGTCGGTCTAGGGCGTCTCGGTAATACGGAAGACCCCTCGCCGCATGAGCATGTGTCAGCCTGGGTACCACCCACCTAATATCGTTTCACCAACAGGTAGGTGGAAGGAGTGCGTCTCCTGTCTCCACCTAATATCGTTTAGTGTGAGAGGGAGGAGGGAAAGCGTTGAGGTTGAGGTTGAGTTCTTGCGCATTCTGCTGAAGTGAACATGCTGATATATGGCCATGAAACGCTGTCCCGGACAGCGTTTCATTTAAAAAAAAAAAATAGGGCATAAAACGCTGTCTCGGACAGCGTTTTACCCATTGAATTTTTTTTAAAAAAAACCCAAGGATAAAACGCTGTCCGAGACAGCGTTTTATGCCCTACTGAATTTAAAAAAATACAGAAGGTAAAACGCTGTCTGGGACAGCGTTTACCAGTTGAATTTTTTTTAAAAAAAAAAACCAGGGGTAAAACGCTGTCCGAGACAGCGATTTACCCTGGAAGCTTAGTTTGGTAAATAGTTTTGCCACGCAACCATTTTTGTCAATAGTTTACGTTTAGAGCTCAAATTGGAAAAACGTTCTAATGATAGAGTAACTAGATGGAGTTTGAGTTGACCCACAATGGATCGAGGTGTTTGAATCGGGTAATGACTAGTCATTTTTATCCTAACAAATCAAATTAAGTCAGGTCATTATATTAATGTTTAGCCAACCTCACTTTCACCTCCTGATGTTATAGTCTACAATGTTATAGTAATCTTTCCCTAAAAAAATGTAATAGTAATTTACATTACTATAAATAGCCAAAGAAATTTAATTGTATGTATGAAACATACAAAAATAGGGTACATAAGAGTAATATACATAAGTAGAAAATTCTACATCTCTTGTCTTTTTCTCTTAATTCTCTTTATATATATTTCATAACAATATATTATTTTGCACTTTCCATACTTCCTCCGTGTGTTTAATAAGTGTTACACTAACCAAACGCGTTCGTGTTTTAATAAATGTTATACTTTATTTTTTTATCCAAAAAATAGGAAAAAAATGAAACTAATAATCTCACCTTTAGCTCATCTGCTCAAAACAATCTCACCTTTATTTCATCTTCTCAAAACAATTTTACCTTTGCGTATTCTAGAAACAATCCCACTTTTATACCCCATATTTGATCTCAAAATGAGCCATTATACCTACAACTGTTTAAACAAATAAGGGCTTGTTTCACATTATTTTTTGTTTTTCAGTTTTGTGTTTTTTTTAAAATAAAAATAAATAAATAAATAAATAAACAAAAATAGATAACAAGAAAAATGTGTTTTCACTTTTAAGTTGTCAATTTTCAATATTATTATGATTTTCTTAAATTTGACAATTTTTTTTTATTTATTATATCACCTCAACAATGCCAAACAAACCTTAATTTTTTTGTTTAATTTACCTCTTCCCACCTTATCACCTTCTTTCATGGCAACCCCTCCATCACCACCATGGGTACCACCCTCACCCCACCTCTAAACTAAACTGGCCCTAACCACCACATCACTACCCAAACTAACCCCCATCTCGAAACTCAAAGGCTTGCCATGTTCCACCTTTCAACCATTACAAACCCAATCAGCCACATCGCCAATAACAATCCATCCTCACCTCTATACACATTCCAACAGTCACATCACCATCTCCAACAAACCCCAATTCTCACACCCTGGCCTTACACAGCTAACCTTCGCCTAAATCCCCTTCTCCCCACCGCAACAACCACCTGATCAGCCCGCTACAATGAATCGCAACAAGCCAGCCATCTCCACCTTCCCTCAACCACCGCTTAGCCACAACTCCAACCACCTCCTCACTACAGCCAATTCTTGAGACAAAGAACCACACTCCTACTGTGCAACGCTCAACCATAATGGTTTTGGGCTGATTTGTGAGGTCTACTGCGAATTTTGAGCGTTTTTTGTTTGAATTGATGGATGTCGGGATTATTGTTGGTATTAGAGTACCAACTCAACCAAAAGCTTAAGCTGATGGTTGAAGCCCAGGAATATGTTTTATACTCTATCACTCCCCCTCACATAAAAGGCCCTTTAGGCTTGAAATGTGGATGCAGCACAAGCCCTCCCATACCCGACGCAAATTAATTCCACTTTGAAGGAGGGGTGGATAAGATTCGAACCCGTGACCTCTATGTCACGCTATGTTAGCAGACCATCTCAACCAAAAGTTTAAGCTTATAGTTGAGGCCCAGGAATATATTTTATACTCTATCACTCCCACTCACTGAAAGGCTGTAACACCCCCGATTTACTAACTGAAAATAAACATTAATTAAAGGAAAAATAAACAACTTTTAAATAAAATTGCGGAAGCATACTCCTAAATCGAAGGTATTACCGCCACACTCCACAACCTGTCAAGTGTTAAGGCTTACAAAATCCCAATAATTACAACCCAATAAATTAATCTAGGTGAGCTGTTTATACAACTTTATAAACTCATGACATCACACTAATCGAAACACTTGAGCTCCTTTAGCTACGACCACTTGATAAACCTGCTTAGAAAATCTTGACTGCTCACCATTAAGGACAAATTCCAAAATAGATCGTCGCAGGGCCACCATAAGAAAAAGACATGGCCGCAAACACAAGTAGCACAACAAAACAACACACACACGTCAGCAAAAAGCTGAGTAATCACCACACATCAGAATACAGAGTATAATTGAATAATAGACCATACTAGCTCAATTAAACAATGTAGTTCGAAACTACATTACACATTGTACTCTGAAAATAACCTTTAACAACTCAACCTCAAATAATAATACGAACCTTTACTCAATATATCCCATAAGTGTGCCATGCTCGTTGTTCTATACCTAGCCTTGGACATGGGTAATTCGAATAGAACCAACAAGTATAAAAACTTGAATACTCTCAATAACAAAAAAAAACACCTTGAACCAGACCACACACGGGCCAATTCCCACTGTAGGGGACCATAGAAAAATAAATAATAAAGATTGTACCTCATTCTTAACTTATGATTATTACCCTCTTACCAACAAGCCAAGGACTAAGTTATATAACGCCGAGCCTCAAACCAAGAATAAAATAATAATTCTCAACCTTTTGATCTCAAACTCGATCAAATAACCATTCATAATTTAATAATAACTCCACAATGGCACAAGTTCCCAAATAACATGACAATTCGATCACAATATCTCAACTCTTAAAAAAAATACTAATAACCCAAATATAATCAAATCTCAACCCAAAAATAATACTCTACCTTAATAACCCTAAAATCTCGATAAAATACTCCCTATAGAAACAACATTAGAACCCTAGAATAAAACATAATCAATAATCATATTTAATAAAAGTAATATGATACTCATATCCAATCAAATCATATAATACCAACAATCAATCATATATATACGAACTTGATCACACGAATTACAATTATAAAATTTACACATAATAATAATATAGAGTGCAAATAATAAATCATATCACACATAATAATAAGAAATATCAAACATGTCCAAAGTTTCGTGTAATTACCTTTCGAAAAGCCAAAACATGGTGTATTGATGGACGAAACAATATAAAATACGAACAGATATACATATTACCATAGTCATGAGAATGAATAAATGATACTTGGAGTTTTAATTATGCATGAGGATAAATTCATGATGAGGTGGAAAGGAAAGATCAAGTGCAGCTTGCTTGATTAACGCATAAACCCAAACAATCAATAAGAAGAATAAAAGGTATATATCTGGCTCACAGTTGCACTCGATACTCCGTAAAGAATTTGATAAAAAAAATAGCATATTTTAGGGTTTATGTATACCTCTAAATAATAGAGTTCTACTTAAAATAAAATAGGGTTACCAATGTTTTATCATTTACAAAATTATACTTACAAAAAAATTATCAAAATAATTATTTAATAAATATACGGGTATTACAAAGGCCCTTTGGGATTGAAATGTGGATGCAACACAGGCCTACTCATACCTGGCCTGGTGCGAATTAATTCCACTTTGAAGGAGGGGCGGATGAGATTCGAACCCGTGACCTTTGTGTCACGCTGACTCTGATACCATGTTAGTGGACTAACTCAACTATCAGCTTAAGCTTTTGGTTGAGTTGGTCCACTATACTCTATAAGTTGGGTTGAATAAATCGTGGAGCAACGCCGCTGGTGAGGTGCGTTGTCGGTTTTTGCGGTTGATGGCGCGTGAATATTATATGATTTTTGGTGGTTTCGGTGAATGGTGAATGGCTTTACAAAACCATTATTGTGTGTGAATGGCTTTACAATAATGGTATTAGATAGTTATTTTGTTGAAGCCGACGTCCAGCAAGAAAGGGAATTAACAAAGGGGAAGAGGAAGGGGAATTTCGATATGTGGCTGGATTAGGTTGATTTGGCGGACAACTAGGTCCGGTCTGCGGGTTGCTAGTTTGACGGGAGAAGGAGGGGCTAATAGGGGAGGGAATTGGTGACTGGGTCTGATTTGTTTCGGCAAGTGGTTGGGTTCGGTTGTTCCGGTGAGTGGTTGGGTTCGGTTGGTTAGTAGGTAGCTGCTCCGGCAAAGCATTTACTTAAAACAGAAGAAGGAAGAAGAAGGGTTATTATTATTAGGATTTTTTGTGAAAAACTACCTTTTATATACAACTTTTTGTGAAAAACTACCTTTTAAAAAAAATGTTGTAAATGACTACCTCTTTTTTAAAAAATGTTGTAAATAGCTACCACTTGCCGGAATCTTGCCGTTGACTTACTTTTCCGGCGTTGACTAGACCACTTGGCGGCTTTTTCCCGTTTTCGACCACCCCCACCCCTCCTCCTCCTCCCTTTTCCAGTTTTCGACCACCCCCACCCCCTCGCCGTCAACTCCCCCTCCCTTTGTCCAGTTTCAGACTGCCCCTACCCATACCCCTGCCGGAAAATTGCGCTTGTTGCCCCTCCGCCTTCCTTCCCGATTTTCGACCATCCCCACCCCCTACAAGCCCTCTTTTTCCCTATCCATCCTTACCCCTTCTTGCAAACCTCCTTTAATTTAGTCGTCCCTACCCCTTCTTCCCCGCAACCACCATTAAAACCAACCTTCAATGTCTTTGAAACCTGAAATTCAAAAAAAAAAAAAACCCCCAAATCCAGAAATTGAAAAGGGTAAGGTTTTCGAGGGGGCCGAAGGAGGGTGGGCGGGATTTTGAGGGTGAGATATGGTGGGTGAGATTAAATTTGGCTAGAAATTGATAATTTGTTTGAGGGGTTTCGAAGTATTTGGGGCCGGAAATCAGAAAATTGATAATTTGTTTGAGGGGTGGCCGGAAATGGATGTCGAAAAAGGAAGTGGGGGTGGTCCGATTGTGAGGGCTGCAATAAGGGGTAAGGGATGGCTACAAGGATGGGTGCAGGGGTGGCGGTGATCGGAAATTGGAAAAGGGAGGTGGAGGGGGTGGGTGGTGGTCGAAATTTAGTAAAGGGAGGCGGAGGGGGTGGGGATGGTCTAGTCAATGTCGGAATTAAAAGTCAACGGCAAGATTCCGGCAAGTGGTAGTTATTTACAACATTTTTTTAAAAAGAGGTAGTCATTTACAATATTTTTTTTAAAAGGTAGTTTTTCACAAAAAGTTGTATATAAAAGGTAGTTTTTCACAAAAAATCCTTATTATTATTATTATTATTATTATTATTTAATTATTGCACCACTTGCTTTTTAAGGAAGCTTCACAAATATTGCAGGCTTTGCAGCATATTCATTTTAAGAAACAAAATATCTTTATTCACACTACAAACACCCAATATACCCCTTAATTTTAAGGCATTATTCTTTAGTTTATGTTTACATCACATGGATAATTTTGTATTTTTTACCTTTCTCTCTCTTCCTGTATCCCACTATAAAAAATGTGTTATCACCCTCTATGGTGCAATAATAAAAGAACGAAAAAAGTAAATAAAACCTAATAAGAAGGTGATACGTGTCATATTACCTTCTAAAACATATTACCAATTTCACAAATCGGTATAAGTCTTGTTTTGAGAAAATGGGGTATAAAGGTGGGATTGTTTCCATTGTACGCAAAGTTGGGATTATTTTGAGAAGATGAGCCAAAGGTGGAATTATTAGTTTTAATTTTTCCAAAAAAATACATGTTAATACTACCTCCATTTCATATTATTTGCAACGATTAAACATTTTTTCATCTCTACTATATGTCAAATCGTTGCAAATAATATGAAACGGAGGTAATATTATTTCTTTATCCTTATAGGGTTCCCAACCAAACTCGCTTATACTTTTTTTTTCCTCTCACGTTATTACTTTTTAATCCCGATCCTCTATCCCACTGTTGTCTTGGTCCGAATCCTCAATACTACTATTATTTCCTCTCACATTATTAATTAAGTGTTTAATGATGAGCTAGCCAAGAAATTAGCTAAGAGGGTCACTATGTGTATTATTAAAAAGTTAGGTATCACTTTACAGAATAAAAATTTCCTTGTCACAATATAAAAATTTCCTTGTCACCATATAGAAATTAGCTAAGAGGGTCACTATATATATATATATATATATATATATATATATATATATATATATATATATATATATTAAGGTTATTTTAGATTTTAACACCTCACAAAAACGCGAAAATTGATTTTAACAACCCCATAAAAAAAAGATTTTAACACCAGATAAATTTCCAAAAAATTGGTATTACCACCACTTAACGGTTTTCATCCAAAAATTCCGTTAAGTGTGGCCCACAGTAACACGTGTCAGCATTTTATTTGTTAAAAAAAAAGAGAAATTAAAAAAAAAAACTTAAAACTACCCCGGCCACCACCACAACGCCACTCCTGCCTTCCACCCAACTCACCACATCCCTCCCCGAAACTACCACTCGTGTCGCACCACCAGCCCTAACCACCTGAACCCTCCCCCTCCCTTTCCCTCAACCGTAACGCCCCCAAAACCCACCAAACCCAAAACCCTCGCCCCCCCTAAACGACCACGAATCCGGCCTTAAAAAGGCCCAAATCGGCCGGTTAAGGCCACTAATCCCCAAAACCGGCCATTTGTGGCCAGATTCGTGGCCGCTTTGGGGAATAAGGGTTTTAGGTTTGGTGGTTTTGGGGGGTGATACGGTTGCGGGAAAGGGAGGGGGAGGGTTAAGGTGGGTTGGGGGTGGTGGTGCGACACGGGTGGTGGTTTCGGGGAGGGCTGTGGTGAGTTGGGGGAGGGCGGCGGTGGCGCGAGGGTGGCGCTGTGGTAGTGGCTGGATAGTTTTAGTTTTTTTTTTCTTTTTTTAATTTTTTTTTCTTTTTTTGGCCAATAATAACACGACACGTGGTTTATGGACCCACTTAGCGAATTCCTAAACGGAATCAGTTAAGTGATGGTAATACCAAATTTTTAAAATTTATCTGGTGTTAAAATCCATTTTTTTTATAGGGGTGTTAAATCAATTTTTACGTTTTTGAGAGGTGTTAAAATCTAAAATTTCCATATATTAAAAAAGGCGTTTCTAACAACGTCCACGTGTCACGTAAACTCTCCTCACTACGCCACGTCACCCATACAACTACTCATAACGCCATGTGGCTCTCTCTTATATCATGCACTTATAATAATAAAAAAAATAGTTCACCACAAGATTTGAACTCACAACCTCTAATTCTAGAACTAATTGTCTTGCCACCAAATTATGTGATTTTTTATGTGATCTTTTGAATACAAAATATTAATATGTAACAAATGACAATATGAACAACAAATTTAATTAGAAGAAAATTGAATCATAAATTACAACATATATTACTAATCAGTTTCATGTAATAATTCCGGGGCATTGCCCGAGCCCAAAAATTAGTTGTTGAATTAAAAGTTGGATCAACAACTGATATTGGGCCTTGTGGACTCATGTCATGGGTGAGTGGAATTCTTTTTTGAAAATGTTACACATTTATAGCTTAAAATAAAAACACCAAAAAGAAGGAATTTGGAGCAAAAAAAGCCTCAATATATAAAGTGGCCGCGGTTAAAGTTTCAGAAATCTCCCATTTTCCTCCCCGCCACCTTTTTGTGCTGCTGCTACTACTGCCTTTCTTCCTTCCCTTTCTCTCTCTCTCTGTCCTCCACACCCAGATTCTCTCTCCTACACTCCTCTGCCTCCCGCTCTACTCATTTTTGGAGGTAAACCTTGTTTTTGTCTTTTTCATTTATATATACCCTCTTTCTTGCTCTAATTTAATCTAATCTAGGGTTTTTTTTTTTTTCCTTTTTTTTCTTTTGGGGTTTTCCCCCAAATTGATCTGCCTGCATGTCCCCTCCCCCTTTTATTCTCTTTATATCTCTATTTGAATGTATGAATCATTGATCTTTTGTGTGACAAATTTGTGTTTTTTTTAATTCAATTTTTTTAAAAAATAAACTTTATGCTCTCTAATCTAATTGGTGATATTGTCCTGTTTCTATGAGATGCAATCTTCCTGTGTTTTTAATTTTATTTTTAAGTAAATTTGGATTCTTTATTGAGATTGGTCTCTGTAAACAACCCTCTTCAAATTAAATCCTTCTTGAATCTCCATTTCCGGGTTTAAGCTTGAAATTTTATGAAGTTAAATTATTTGGTGAAATGGCGCTTATCTAGTTATCTGTATATACTAGTACTTAAAAGAATAAATTTCATTTTTGTAAAATTAATTGTAGTTAGTTTACAAATTGGAGTAATAAAAGCGATAGTGACATATTGCAGCTTAATGTCCGAATTCTTATGTTTTGATAGTTAAGGACTCCTATTGTAATTGGTAATGTATTGCGTTTGTTTGTTTTTTTTAGGCTTCTGTGAATTGTGATGTCGTGCAATTAGTTAATCGGTTTCTTTTCTCCGGAAATAGTATGGTAGGTATGGATGCACAAGAGATTCGTGAGAAATCAGTGGAAAAAGATAGTGTCTGCGAGGAGTCTTTAGAATCTTGTGCAAAGGCCAACGGAAGTGTATCATCTCACTTGAAAGATAGTGGTTCACCAACAACAAATGGTAGTGAAGGCAATGTAAAGGGAGTTGCTTTATGCCCAATTACACCCATTTCTTGCAGAAAAAATGGGGATTCTGTTTTTGTGACCAGCTCCCCATTGTCGGTTGAATCTCCTCAATTTCCAAATGTGGATGGCTTCAATTCCCCAATAAATGAAGAGGTTGTGGCTTTAGGTCTTGATGGTAGCCCTCGCACACCAAATGAGGGAGTTTTCGATCCATTTGCCCCAGGTCCTGATGAGATGCTTCTCGCTCCTATAGGTAAAAAGCATGTGAAAGAGTCTCGGAAAATTGTTGCTCGAAGGCTAAATTTTGATGACCTTGACAATTTTCTAGTATCAAAGGGTGATAGCGAAAATGCAGATATATTGACAGAGAAGTTGTTGCTGGAGTCTGTTTATGAAACTCTTCTGGAAGCCATTATCTTGAAGCAGTCAGAGGAGTTTTTTGCTGAAAATCAGCATTTGGAATTGGAGAATCTTCATACACCAACCTCTCCACCTCCCCTGATGGGAGTTGCTGAGACATGCCCTGGAGCTCCTATGAAGGCTGCAGTCAATAAGTCAAGGATAATTGACGTGGCACTGTGCAGGAAGCTTGAATTTTAGTTACTTTCAGATGTTAGGCAGAGAAGCCTGGATTTTTATACTGACTTATTGTTTAATGCTCCACAGACGCAAGCATATCTGCACATACTGCTGACTCCAAGGGTTGCAAGTCGTTTACTGTTGTATGTGTATTCTAGATCCCTGTATGTTCACCTCTTAGTTTTAGTGATTCACCCTTTAGAGAGGTGTTAGATTATCATGCCCTTGTACAGCTGTTTCAGACAATCATTTTGAGCAAATATCTTCAAGTGCTTCAGTTCTCTTGGAAGTTTTCTTCTTTATTGTTATGGCCCTTGTAGGCTTCACAGCTTTGAACGTTAGTCTACTGTCTAAGTGTGTATTCAAGTTGCTGCATTTTTATGGCATTATTATCTGATATCATGGTATTTGAGTACACTAGAGTATAACTATGTAGGCGTTAGAATTACTTATGAAACACCAGCGTTAGAATTACTTATGAAACACCAGTGATAGCGGAGGCACAAGTTGAGATTGGTTGCCTTTCTCAAACATGGAATTTCTTATACAGAGTACCTCACTTGGCAGCATTGATGGTTGTCTTCTTCTCACATGTGATTTTTTATACCACTCTTGGCAACACATTTTTAATGTCATAGATTCTTGCTCTTATCATTCATAGCACATGCATATGTTACATAAAAGCTGCTTTTAAAAACCCGTGAAAAGGCACCATTTGTACACTTAACATGTTCAGAACATGGATCAAATTTCACAATAAGGCTAGTTGTTCATCCACCAAATATTTCTTTGCATACTGTAGCTGTTGGCCATACAGAAAAGACACACTGACTCCAAATGTAGTTGGTGCTTTTTACCTGAATTGTTAAACTGTTTACTGAGTAAAACTACTACGGAGTACAAGAAAGTGAGATAATAAAGTCTAAAAGAGCGAAAGAATCATTAAAAACCAAAAAAGTTGTACTTAATATAAAGTATCAAACAAGTACGAGGTGCCAAGAACTGTAATTATGTTTTTATGTACAAAAGGGTACTGTCTCTCTATTTTAACAACATAAGGATAGCAGCAAAAGCTAACAGGAAGTCAAAATTTGTTGTGGTTCTTGCAGTCTTGACTTTTTATTTTCAGATCTGGAAATCCGATTACAATCTGGCAATCAGAGGCAGAGACGATATGCTTATGGAAGATTTTCAGAATAGTCACCCTGCCTGGGATCCTGGTTTTGGTTTCCAAGCGTAGCTCTCCGTCAGCTATGTTGCTGAAGAGGGATGTCAGTCCTGAATTCGCAAACCTATCAACCTCGACAGTAAGAAGGCAAATCAAAGTGGATGTACCCCTCGCAGGAATCAGCCCGGGATGAAGCTGAGTATCCCCAACCCGGTCCCCTTGATACAGCAATACACCCTCTCCTTGATCACTTTTGAAGCTGGCATGATTGCGGTTCTGAATCAGGAGAGTGAGGTTGAGAGTGATATTTAGCTCTACCTTTATGGCTGGGAAAGAAATCCTGGGAGCAACACCTTCCAAGGAAGCAGACGCCACCTGAGTCCTTGCAGGTTTAACCTTAAAAACCGTCACTCCTAAGATAATCCCTACAATTATTATTGCTAACAAGAGCAGAAGAGTGGCCAGAACAGCAAACTTACACCTCCTCCGTCTCTGTTTTGGATGAGATAGAGGCGGAGCCGTAGCGGTTTCCTGAGTGTTGAAAGTTTTCATTGAAGGAGCGTATACTCTATATGAAAAGGATGATCAAAGCACGAAATGGGAGTTAAATAAAGAGTTGTTTATAGATCGAGTACTAGATGAGAGTTTCAGCAGACAATGTGATGACATATACTCCTTGTGTTGTAATTTAGAGTTTGTAATCTAGTTATACAGGTAAAATACTGAAATTATGATTAAATGCTGAGCCTCAACTGCCCAGCTAACCAACTACTACCATACAACCCCGTCTTCTTAAATGCTGATACCCCACTGGAATGTATCTTGTGGGTGATTACAGAAAGCTGATGATTCGTGCAAACATAACTGCACTTTTTGGGTATCAAGTCACTTTCTTTGAATACCAAGTCTTCCTTTACTAGGAAATTCATTACTCAACAACCTAACTTGTAAGTATGCGCTGTGTTGAGGTCAGAATTCACAACTTTGAGTTTCAACAAACACGGTTTTCTTGATTGCCAAATCGTCCGACTAATAACTACAGTACGAGTAGGCATCGAGCCATTTATTGCTCAAAATGCCAGTCTTTTACCGTAGTCAAACTTAAACAAATCTTACAGTACTAATTAATATGTTGATACCAAATTCAAATTGTATACAGAGTAATTGCTGATTTATTTTTGGATGGGAGACTAAAACAAGTCCGAAGCCCAATATAATTGGTAAGGGATCGTTTGTTTGAAGGCATAAGTGAAACATCTCACAAGAGTCCTAACAACTTTAGAAAAGTAGGTTAGTAAAACTTGTTAGAAAGTAGCACCTCCTATGTTTGGTCGATTCTTCTTTCATTAAATTTAAGATAGACAGACAGATGATAATTATCACTGAAGCTGTCAGTATTAATTAACAAGTGCAAGGCAACTTATCTAAGATAGAAACTTGTTAATGCTGGTGAAAGATATCCTGGCCTACCTCGTCGAAATTAGAATCAATAATCAAATACGACAATTATCAATTAAAGATATTTCAATTACAGTACTAAAAAGATAATAATACAAGTATTAAAAAGGTGAAGTGAATACATGAATAAATATACGTGCGATATTCTGCTCCCTCAAAGTAACTAATGATCCATTAATTAATTACTCAGTAGCTAAGTAAAACAATAGACAAACCTAATAGTATCAAAATCGCAACCACTTTGATACCAAAAAAAAAAAAATCAAGATAAACGAGTGTTGTAGGTGCAATCGGAGTCGGAAATAGATCGCGTGGAGACGGAGATATTGAGATTACAAGAGGCAGAAGACACAACATGAATCTTTACAAACAATACCGTGACCTTGCCGGAGATGCGCGTACGCGTGGTAAGAGGCAGAGTTCCGGCAAGAAGGTCGGAAATGACAGCCTGAGAGTTAGAAAGAAATCGATCGGCCATAAGAGTGAGAGTAAGGTTCATAGGCAGGGTCTCCCCAGCCGAGATCTGACCGGCGGGAATGGGAGCTTGTCCAACCATCTGACCCCTGTAATCCACAAAGGCGGAGCTATCAGAAAACTTGAGTCCGACCTTATTAGGATTCTTTACAGTAATGGAAGCATCGAGAGAGACATTGAGGTGGACTTTCATTCTCAGGGCATCAAAGGATACGTCCATGTCGTGGAGGGAGACGGACTTCACGGTTGTCACTGGCCGCTTCGCCTTAAACACTGTGCCTCCTAATATTGAAATTAGTAATACCAACCCGATTACCACGCCCAACGCCACCAACCAACACCGTCTCCTCTTACGCCGCTTTTCATCCATCTTCAATATTCAATATTCAATTTTTCATTTGCTTTCTCTTTCTCAATTTTTTATATTCTCCAATTTCGGAATTTTCTGTTTCTCTTTGTGTTTCCAATTTCCAACTCAGACGCCTCTCCTTCTATAACGCCACTAAACACTTTCCTAACTCGTTGTGAGGACTTAATTCACTATTCTTGTCCACTATGCCGACTTTCTCATTTCATGCATTCCTTTCCTTTTATAACCTCCCACCTATATCACAAAATATACTTTCCTTATTTATTTTTGGGAAATTGGAAATTAAAAATTCAACCTTTTACTAATTTTCCCTTAAAAATATTCAATCTTTTACTTATTCCATAAAAATTCAACATTTACCTCCCTATCCTCATCTAAAGATCCATTATCTATTGATGAAAGGTTTTTATAAGTTATATACCACGTGTCAGCTATTAATAGGTCTATTATTTTTTAATTATTAAAAAAAATTAAAAGAAATAAAAATCTAAGCCCTTACCCACAACCCCCCGCCACCTACTCAAACACCTGACCACCAATCACGCCAACGACAACACCTTCCATCTCCAACACCGCACCTAGCAAGCAACCCCGATAGCTGTCGTACATCTCCTCCAACTCCACCATCACAGCCAACCAAAACCACACCAAAAAACGAAATGAAGGGGGCTTTGATGGGATAGGGTTGGTGAATTTGAGGTTTTTGTGGTGGGGGTGTTCGGTGGTTGATGTTTACTTTGGGTGGTGACTAGGTTGTCGGGGCTAGGGGTGTGATTTTCGGGGCCGAGGCTAGGTTTTCAATGCCTTCAAAATCGACGAATATTGAGTCGAAATCTTCCGATTGAAGCAGTCGTTGGGAAGAGCAGTGAGGATTTCGGATTGAGGGCGGAATTGTAAGGTATGACAATAAGAATTGGGAGATGAAGAGGAGTGAGTTGAATCGATGAAGTCGCTAGTCAAGAAGAGGACGGCTTCGATGAATTCGTCGCTAGAGGAAGGGGAAGTGATCGGAGGAAGGTGTTTTCCGATGACGGTAGCAGGACACGCTGTTGATTTTCGTTTTAAGGAGAGAGGAGAAAGAAAGAGGAGGAGTGAGAAGGGAAAGTGTGAGAGAATTAAAACAAAAAAATCAATTTAATCTATTTAACAGGTTAAAAGTCAAAGGGATTTTTAGATGAAGATATGGGGTAGAGGTTAGATTTTTATGGGATAATCAAAAGGTTGGGTTTTTAAGGGCAGACGAGTGAAACTGTGAAGGATTCGATTTTTATTTCCATTTTTCCTTTATTTTTTATACCGTACATTAGGTATACAACTGAACTAGTCTACGCTAGGCTATAGCTTCTAGATAAGGCCCAACATAATGACATCCTTGTTACTCCCTTTGTGTTTTTAAGTGTTACACTTAAATCGACATCTATTAACTATTACTACAACAGAAGTCTGCTGACATCATCTTCTCTATCAAATGTATATGTGTCACTTTCTCATGAAATTTTTTCCCGCCAAATGCACTTATGATGTCATATATATTTTGTTTTTTTATTTATTTTTTGAATTGTTTTTTATTTTTTTTATTTTTAATCATTTTCATTTCAATCTTTTGACTGTGTCAATAAATAAATAAATTTTATTTTTGGTTGGAATAAATAAATTGCTACCTAGAAATTGGCTTTTATTTTTATATTTTGTTACTCATGTAATTTATGATGATAGCTTCATATTTTTTATGATTTAATTTATAAGTATATACAATAAAATTATAAAATAAATAAAATAAATAAGCTATTTTATTTCAAAAATTTTGTAATTTGTGCATCGCACGGGTCTAATCTAGTATAATTCTAAATAGATTAATTGACTTTTTAATATAAACAATAAAGTAATTTTGGTAGTGTTGACACTGAAAATTTTTAAATTATTAGGTGTCAGATATATGTAAATAAGGAGATTATATATATAAAAAAAATATAAGCTATTTATCTTCAACATCTCGTAAAATATTTGATATTTTTCATGTTTACTACTCTTCGCCACTCTATATAAAGAGAGTCATTTCTAGGGTTTAATGGGGCTTAGATGGAACAAGTCACAAAGACCCTATCTCCTCCCACTACCAAACACTGTAGGTACATAGTATGGAATAAGCCGACAATGCTCCATACTATTGATATGTCCATTTTATATAGTGTTTTACTCCCGTCCCTTGGTCATAATTGGTAGTGTTTTTGGCTCTTTAAAACCACTTTTATTACTAATTGGTGTTTTTTAGTGTTTTCGTAGTTTTGGTTGACTTTTGTAGGGAATTGCACTTTTGGAGCATTTTCCCGGGATATTATGAAGTGGCTACGAGCATTGGAGGAGCACTACCAGTTTTCATAGCCCAGGGCCGGTTAGAGTCGTCAAACCGATGATTAAGGGCTCAACATTTGAGATTTCGAGGCATTTGGACCGAGTATTCAAGACCCGAAGAGGAAATCCGGATTGGGCCAAAGAATCGGAGCCCAATCGAGAAGTCTAAGTTGCAAAGGAGTGTGGCCCGGCCGAAATAGGCACCGCCCGAAGGCGCGCCCGACCGAGCGAGGAAGATTACCTTGCGCCCGAGTTCGCGCCAGGCCGGGCGCGAGAGATGCCCATAATGGAAAAAAGGCGGGCCCGGTCGGGCAGCCCTTCGCTCGATTGGGCACGAGATTTTGAGGAGTTTTATTCAGCGGAATTTCTTAGTTTTAATTAGGAGTAATTATTTTTGTATAAATACGATTTAATTTTTTTTGTTTTAGTACTTCTTCTCTCAGATTTTCTTTCTCTACTTAGTTTTAGATAATTTTCTCTCTGTACAACTTTGTTCTCTACTTAGTTTTTAATTCAACTCTTTAATTTCGATTACTTTGGTAACGATTTCTTCTACTTTAATTTCAGTTATTTACTTTGTTTCTTTCATCATGTTTTGTTTAATTGCTTTGATTAGTTTAGTTTTAACTATGTCTGAGTAGTTTTCTTTCTAGGGTTTGTGTGGATCCATAAATAATATGAAGGGGTAAATTATTGTTGTTGATTATCAATGCTTGATTAATTTCCTATTGATTGATTTAATGCTCTGCAACTAGATTAGCGCTGGTCTTTTATGTATGAGTTACGCAATATTAATTTGAGATTCGAGAGATGAGAATTGATATTTAGGCTTAGTTTCAATAGGCAGGTTAATTTATAAATGGTTAAGTCGAGATTCGAGAGATGAGATTTAATACCGGTAGATTAATTCTGTGATTGTAATACGTAGCGAAAGCCCTTTATGATCTGATTAATAATTGATGTATTGATGATTGATTATTATGTCTTACCTTAGAATGTTATTTATTGGTGAAACCTATGCCTTAGACCTTTATTCATTGATTTCTCTTTACTCTTAATCTTAGTAGTTTAGTTTCCTTCCCATATTATTAATTTATTACTTAATACGTAGTAATTTAGATTGCTTTAATTGATTAGGAATAGAAAAACTAGTTTCCCTGTGGATTCGACCCTACTTCCCTATCTACATTAGTTAGAGGATTTAGGAATTACTTTTGATTAGGTGATACGACTTTATCCTGTCAAATATAAACATATCAAAACCCTAATCGTACCCTTTGGAGAGAGTACTCAAGACATCTACGAGAGTTGTAACCCACAAATTATCAATGAAATAATTGTTCCCATATATTTTCTACCTCTTTATTTGTATATTGCAGGTATGAATTTTTATGGTGTACAAATTAGCACGCTCGGTGGGACAATTTTCGCTCTTTATCTCCACTCTCCAAATTTCAAAACTCGTAGATTTAATGGGGGCATGTCAAATTTTCTTTCAAATTCTACAGGAAAGTTTCGAGACCAAGTTGCATCCGATGTCAAATCTCCATAAGAAGTCTCGAGGGGGCATTTGTTGGCACCGAAATTTGTTATTAATTATTAGGTGTCAGATATAAGATAATATATAAAAAAAAAATATAAGATAGCTATCTTCAAGATCTTGTAAAATATTTAATAGCTTTCTTGTTTACTACTCTACGACACTCTATATATAAAGAGAGTCATTTCTAGGTTTTAATGGGCTAAGATGGAATAAGTCACAAAGACCTCATCTATTCCCTACAAGACTTAGATGGAACAAGTCACAAAGATCACATCTCCTCCCTACTAAGCTAGTATGAAGTAAGCGACAAGGTCTCGTACTAAAAATATATCAAAACTCCAACCCTTAGGAGAGAGTGATCGAGAGATCTATGAGAGCTGTAACTCTACAAATTATCAATGAAATAATTGTTTCTGTGTGTTTTATAGCCTCTTTATTTGTATATTGAAGGTTTGAATTTTTATGGTTTTCAAGTAGTTGGGGTTTTACAAAAAAAAAAAAAAAATGACCTTAATTGAAAAGGAATGTATGTGTGAGAAAAACAACTATATAAATAAGAAATTAAAAAAAAAAATGATGAACAAATTTAACTTCAGAAAGTGTTAATAGAATAACAGTATCAATTTGAGAACACTCTCCAAAGTAGATAGCAGACAATCTATCCATAGTACCAGTCATTTGAGCTGTTCGGTTCGAGTTATTTCAGATTGATCTTTCGGCTCGGTCTCCCACCCATAATCATTTAGTAGAGGGGAAGCGTTAGGCAATTGGCTGTTGCCATTTGTTGGAGATATTTTTTCTAACTTCAGTTTTATGCTTCAAAAAAAGATTCATCTCCTTGAATTAATTGTGTAATGGTTAGTAAAATCAATGCAATTTTCCATTTTAAACCTTGTTAACTACTCCCTCTGTTGCATAATGATGTTCATGTTTGAAATCATTGACTTTTTAAAAATAAGAGAGAATCTTCTAAATTTCTCTTAATCTATAAGAACAAATATAGGGTCATGTGGGATCTAGTTTGATTTGTCTTGATGAGTAGATTATTAATATCTAACTTTTATAATTTTTGCTAGTGTGAAATTAAAGATATTTACGGTTAAAGATGGGTCAAAACTTGCATCGATTTCCGCAAACAGGAACATCATTTTGAAACAGAGGGAGTATTACTAATTGTCATCCTTTTTTTTTTTTTTTTTTTTTTTTAAATTAAATTTATTTTTTATTAGAGAAGAGAGAAAGAAAGCATGGTACCAATGCTTGATCCTTGGACCTAGACTTCAGAGATTTCTTCTCCTACCACTAGTCCACAACTCCAAGAGGGAAGCTGGTGACTTGTCATTCTTTTGTCACCGTCTTTAATTGAGGCTAATTGATTATTGTAATCCTTAATTGAGGATAATTGTTGGCCTTCCATATTTTGATTTTCTTAATTAATACTTCGTATAAGATTCTTCCTTTGAAAAAGGAGAAAGAAGAGAAATCTCCTAAACTACGCAAAATATAAACTCGATCTTGTTTTTTGAGCAATATTAGACAATTTTCTCAATCTTAATTCCAGATTTCCAGAGAGGGAGAGCCGTGTATCCCCGAAAGTTGATTGTCAAGACTCAAGAGTTCGTATGGCTAGTAGAAAATTCTAATATGTTAATTATTGTATGTACACTTGCAATTCGGACATCAACCTTATGTCGCAAAAATGATAGGAGTTAAAGTTTATAAATTATCAGTGTCTAAAGAGGGTGAAGTTTCTATAATAAAATCACGAGGACTTAGCCTACTTTTGTATACAATGTCAAAAATGTTAAATTTTAGTAGTAAAACGCATATGGGTTGTGCACGAGGTTCGTTTATAAAAGATGGGTGAAGCCTGATAGGGCTGACAACAAGATTTTTTTGTAAGATTGGGCCAGTTGAACATAACATGTGGGTCTATATGGCGGCTATGGGCCAAGCCGCTATGACGGTTGGTAGTGGAAAAAACGGGAAGACGAAGACGTAGTTACATCTACATGGGATTTGTTCAACACATTGGGATGTCTGTCAAAACTCAGTCACTACTATTTGCTTAATAATTCATAATATACTCTTATCAATTATTAAAATCCTTGATCGACTGAGTTTATAGCATTGGAGAAGAGAAGAGAAATCACAAGATTCCTTTCAAGTGTTTTAGAAGGCAACCGAAACCGCAGGTACATAATACATTTATTTAATTGCGGAGTAAAGTCTGTTCCTTTTTCCCAAGACTTAGTTATTTTAGTCACGGAATACATATTTCTTTTTTAATTAAGATTTATTTCCAAACAAACAAACAAACAAACCCCAGTTGATTTTAATGTTTGTATAGATTTAGATTTTGAATTTGGGTTTTGATATCAGATGATGTTGACACAAGTTTTGATGGGGACGGAAGGAGGAGGCCAATCTATGTTGTCCACCATCAAAATCGCCGTCCTTCCCATTGCAAAGGTGTTTACCATGTGCTTCCTGGGATTCCTTATGGCCTCTAAGTATGTCAATATCCTTCCTTCTAATGGCCGCAAATTGCTCAACGGGGTCGGTATTTTTTATTTTTTTTATTCTCTCTTTTTGGGTTTAATTTTGATCATACTACTGATTTTCTGTTTCTGATCCCAGCTGGTTTTTACTCTGTTGCTCCCCTGTTTGATATTCTCCCAATTAGGCCAAGCTATTACTCTCCAGAAAGTGATTGAATGGTCAGATACTTAATTCTTCAATTCGTAGGACTTTTCTCACTTAGTAGTATTTAATCTCAACTACTTATGCAGGTGGTTCATCCCTTTCAATGTTATCCTCGCTACTATTTCTGGCTCACTCATCGGCCTACTCGTCGCCACCATTGTCCGCCCTCCATACCCCTACTTTAAGTTCACAATTGTGCATATTGGAATTGGAAATATTGGCAATGTACCCCTTGTCTTGATTGCTGCTTTGTGTAGAGATAAGGCTAATCCTTTTGGCGATTCAGACAAGTGCAGTCAAGATGGAACTGCCTATATTTCATTTGGCCAGTGGGTATGTTTTTTTTTTTTTTTTTTTTTTTTTTTTTTTTTTTTTGTGCACACATGCTGGACTTACTTCCTGAATGCCCGAATTTAACCTGTAATTTACGGAGTAATAATTAAATTTTCCTGGAATTCAATTGTTCAAAAAGTTTAGATACTTGTTTGTCATATAGGTCTCTCTGTCAAAGAATATACTGATGTTAATGATACTTTTCATTTGTTATTGCATATATGCAATTTTTTTGTAAAGCATTACACCTTGTAGTTTATCTGATGACTTGATGCATTACAACTTGTAGTTTATCTGATAACTCATTTTACTGGATTGTTGTTACAATACAACTATGCTTGCTATTGCTATATGATACCAGTCCAGAATTATTGAAGTGATAGTGATCCCTTGTTTCCCTTCAGCTTACTTGTGTTTTTTTCACTAGCTTATTTGAGCAAAATTAGCTTATTTGACCAATATTAGCTTATTGACTATTAAATAAGCTAATTCAAGGTGTTTGGCGGGAAGCTTATTTAAAGAGCTTATTCCACAAATAAGCTCTTTTTCAAAAAGCTCCTAAAAGCTTATTCAATTCTTATGGTGAAATGACACCGATACCCCCATTTAATTTAAAAAAAAAAACTATATGAATCACCTACCCCACAATTAGCTTATTGGTCATTTCACATAGGCCCTGTTTGGTAGTAAGCTTATTGGGGGTATATTAGCTTATTTGACTAACTTTAGCTGATTGACTAGTCAAACAAGCTAATACAAGTGTTTGGTAGTAAGCTTATTGAAAGAGCTTATTTCACTGAATAAGCTCTTTTTGAAAAAGCTCATTTTAAGAGCTTTTTCAATTAGCTTATTCATTAATTATTGTGAAATGACACTTTTAACCTCATTTAATTTAAAATCCTATCTAAACTACCTACCCCACAATTAGCTTATTGGTCATTTCACATACTCAATCACCTTTAAACTATCAGCTATTTACCAAACACTTTTCTACAATAAGCTAATAAAATAAGTTAGTCAAATCAGTTTATACAATCAGCTAACACTATCAGCTTTCAGCTTTTAGCTTTTCTCCAAACACGACCATAAGTATTACCTTATTTCTTTTCAGCGCCTTTTTGAATTTTGAAGTCTAGCTGTTTTCCTTGTTTTCTAGGTTGGGGCAATCGTCCTGTATACATATGTATTCCAAATGCTGGCACCCCCTCCTGAAGGTACCTTTGAAGTTGAAGGCGGACATCTTCCTATCAAAAGTCAACAGCACAGTGGAAGTGAAACACCAGAACAAGCTCCTTTGCTTCCTAGAGATCCAGGGCCATTGACATCACACGTGTCACAGAAAGGAAAGGCAAGAATCTTTCTACTTTTCTTATATTTTAAAAGTTGTAACTCTGTGTTTAGGACTTCAACATAGTGAATGTTTGTTGATTGATAGATTTTAATGTCCCTGCTTCACCTACATTTATTTGACTGATTCCATTCTCTTAATTATACGTAAGTTCAATATATTTCCTCCTTTCCACTGTTTTTCATTGATTTATGTTAAATAGTTTGTTGACTTAAGTCTCAAATTCTCAATGACTACCACTCTCCACTTATTGTCCATTGCTTTAATCTTTTTCCAATACGGATATCAAATCTTTTTGATGTTTGCACTATTTGAATTCAAGTAAACTGTGAATCTGGTGTTGACAATCAGGTTATAGTCATTAAGAACTTGAATTTGTGTTTTTTAATCATGCTGAAATTCTGTTTTCCCTTAGCTCATAATCTTGACTTGCTAATATGTATAGAACTTGTGTTTGATTTTTTGTGAATTCAAGCTCTATTGTAGGTAAAATCTTCTGGAATTACTGAGGGGTTTATAATCTTAACTTTATAAATCAGCAACTTACTTTGAAAAGGGTAACTAAACCTTTTTCAGAAGTGCTAAGATTATTTGGGATTGGATTGTTGAATCCACTACACCTTTTTGGCTGCCATTAAGTGATAACTCAAGTCTTGGAGTCTCTTTAGGTTCTCTTTAGTAAACCTGTGCTAAGAATATATAATTAATCTTCCTATCAAGTTTGTATCTTTAGAAATGCAGACTTCAATATATAGTCTCTGAAAACTGCTTGAGTGTTCATCTTTTGGATAGGGCATGTTCGGAATAGGAAAATTTTTTAGGGGTTAATTGAGCCGTGAACTTGTGGTAGATGGGATGAATTAGTGGTGATTGAAGGAGGAAGAGATGAGGAATTTTTTTAATCCTCATTTAGGGGGTAAATCTTTAAGGAATGGTGAAAAGGGGTGGATATGAGCTGAGTTAAGAAGAGCCTTCAGCTTTATTGAATCAAGAACTTAAACCACATAGATGAGCTCGAACTCAGTTCGAAGGGTATGGTAAAATTAGGGTATGCCCATCCCTAGCGGTGGGGAAATGTTGCCTTCATTTAAAGGTAACAATATCCCGATGGACCCCACCTCATCCTCCTTTTGGAACCATCTCCATCCATCTTCCATCTCTTCATTTGTCATCCTGGAACTTCATTTTCAACCTTTTCTATCGCTTTGCAGAGATAGTAATGTCAAACATTCTGATTATGCATGTGTCAAAAATTATGCACAGGAGGAATACAATTCTCTCATATGCTAGTGAGTATCTAGTCTCATATCTTTATGACAATTTCTGATATCTAATTGTATACAAAATTTACATGTTTCCTTTCACATGCATTATTTTCTTCCCTAATACAATTATCCTGATCTACTTGACTGATGGGATGACTGTCTCAGCATACGTTTTGAATCAGTGACTGAGAAAACGGGGTAGTTATCTATACAACCTGTTGAATCACAAAGGAAGGACAAGTACTTGTGGACAACTATCATAAGTCCAAATGCAAGAATTGTAACTGAAAATAAAAAATGGTGACTGTGGGGGACTAGGGGTTTTGGGGGGTTGGGGGGGGGGGGGGGTTGGGGTTGGGAATTATCACATCCAATTTTTACTGAGATTGCTAAAAATTATAAGTAATACAAATGATGAAGATTTACATTTGCTTATCACCTATATTTAAAGTTGACTCAGAATTGTCTCCCAGATACTGAGAGATGTACTGCTTGTTTTCTTTGATTCAAGAATTGTAATGGCTCGTGCAATTTAGTGTTTATCCATCTGAATTTAGGAGATGCATCTGCAAACAAAGTCTACAGTAGCGATACTCTCTCTATTTGTACTAAGCTTCAATTTGTTTGATGCAGGTCAAGGAGTTCCTGTTGTTCATATATGATAAATTAAAGCTCAAACAGCTCATACAGCCTCCTATTATTGCTTCTGTAAGTATATTATACCTATCTGCCTACGTTAAGTATTAAACTTGCAAATGTTGGTCATTTTTGTGCATCAACGTGTCCCCCCTCCCCCTCTCCCACTCTTTCCTTTACACGTGCGTGTAAAATGTAAAAGTGTAATTCATGCTTAGTAATCGATGGAAATGACTACCTCGTGGAATGATACTAATATGTCAGTAAAATTCAATTTGATGTTATATTCTGATATCTTTGTCCCTAGAACTTGTTTACTGTTTGTCGATCATGAAATTAAGTCTCACGTCCCTCATTGAGTCATTTCAGGAGGGTAGCTGGAAATTGCTGACTTTTTGGGGCAGTGGGACTACGTTAGTCCTAGTGATTAAAAAATTTCATAACAGAACGATAAATGACGTGAATTATTTCAATTGAACCTCCCTATCTATAAGTGCAGCCAATAAATAATCCATGACAACCTGATCAACAAGTAAAATGCCAAGTTCATCCTCTTGCAAAGAGAGCCTTTAGTACCTTATACAATTGATAAACCCCAATAATTTTCTGCTGGAATAGTAGCCTTTTCCATAGACAATGCCAACTTATCAATACCTACTGAAACATAAGAAATAAAGAAAAAGCATAGCTATACTTGAAAGTGCCATAGACAATCCATGCACTTTGGCTCTTAACATATCAATCTAGCTGGTTTACCTATACGCCTCACTTCATGAACTCAATATCACTAACACTATGGATAACAATAGTGAAGGGAAAGGGAGGGGAAGGAAAATGAGGGAAGGGAAAGGGAGGTGGGGGGGAGGGAGAAGGAGACCTTCCATTTTCCTTTCAAATCTCTCCAATAATAGAGGGATTTGATTTATTAAAAGTGGAAGGAAAATGGATCCCTCCAATTCCCTCCCCTTCCCTCCTTACATTATATATCCAAACAAGGGAGTATGCATCCCTCTACTTCTCTTCTCTTCCTTTCCCTCCATTTCTCTCTATCCAAACATAGCGTAAGGGCCTTTATGTGATTGTATAGTGGTCGTAAAGGGTTCCAAACAAAGTTTTATGACCTCCGGATGCATCCTCCACCATCACTTGAGTTTTCAATAAGGGGCCTCAATATTTTTAAAAAAATTCCGATTTCGTGTATTATAGCCTTTAGATTTAGCCTCTAGAGAACTTTTTCAGACCTACAAGGTTAAGCATCGTGGTTTTTCCTAGTTTTGCTACTTGCACCACTAGCCTTTACGTGATCGATAATGACCATATATGGTTCCACACAAAATTTTATGACCCCAAGATACATCCTTTACCATCACTTGAGTTTTTGACACCAATTCGTGAAATCTTGTTCAATTTCATGTATATACCCTTTAAATTTGGTATCCGGAGAACATTTGTAGATCTAGCAAGGGTAAGCATCGAGGTGTTTCTTGGGATTCCCAAAGGACCTCAAGAGGCCTACTAAATGCGCGGAATTTTATTAATTCATGCATTTGCCCATGACTTTGCTTTCTTTGTAATCACGTCTTAAGATGCATGCCTTGCCTTAAAGTGGGGCTCTTTGGAGTATCATTTACTGAGGGGTTACTTTTGTTGTCTAATGTTGTCTTTTATCTCTAACGTCTTGGTATTGGGTCCACTCTTCTATTAGCACAAATATGAGGACCCTTCTATAATATCCAGGATTCTAAAGGCGAAGTAATTTTGTGAGCTACGATACCTCTTTCTATTGAAGGTAGTTAAACTACTCTAGAAGATTAACAATCTCTTTATGTTGAAAGAAGGATGGCCTTCTTCATAGGTCATCGAGCGAACCATTAAGGTTTAAGGGCCTTACCATGACTTGCCTTGTCTAGGCCATGACTTGTCCTAAGGCAAGCCAAGATGCTACCCTCTATTGTTACAAGTAGGTGTTTTATGCCTTGGTCTCATACACATGCCCTGTGTTTGTGTATGCCTCAGGCCATGATAGCAGCAACATTAGTAGCGCCCAAGGTCCTTGTGCCTTGGCCCTCATACATAGTAATTTCTTTCGCACACACGACATGATGCTACCCTTTTTTTTTAGCTAATTATAGTTGGTTTTAGGGGGGACAAATTGAAATGATATCATGCTAAATCTTAATAGATCGTGCACCGTGTATTTTATTCCAATTACTTCCTTTATATAGGGTTATTCGACTAACACAAACCCTTATAAAAACTAAAGATAATGCCAATAATAATAAAAATAATACTATGCTCATATAATAATAATGATGTCAACCAACCTATGTAATATACCAAATGTAATGCCGGCGTGCTAATAAATTACACGCCATATCTAAAAAATCAAACTAAATTGATTATCTTGAGTCTCTTTATTGCATCCACACCAAAAACTTGCAAGATTGTCGTATACATAAAAATGTTAGTACTTCCGCTCAACTTTAGACACACATGCCCACACACATCTACACAAGCAAAGAAACAATAAAAAAAACTTGGGTATCTTAGGGCCTGTTCACTTCAGCTTAATTTCAGTTCAGTTCAGTTCAGCTCTTAATTTCATTCTCTCATAAAATATTCATTTCGATTCAATTCAACTCAGGCTCAGCTCCAATCAGTTGATTTCAGCTCAATTGAGTAGGCCCTAACTCCTTAACCCCAAATATTGGGTGTGTTCTTAGTTTGTTGATTTTGGATTGTAATTATATCAAAAACTTAGGTATGTTACTCCTTACTCCCAAAAATTGGGTGTTCTTAGTTTGTTAACTAGTTCTTTGCCAGCGGATATTCAGAATAAAAAATTACTTTTATAAATCACTATATAAGTTTGTACGAAGAATATATTTATGATATCAAAGTATTGATCATTATAGATTAGATACGGTAATGTAGAGTACTTATTATTATGTTATGAATTTGAAATTGAGTTGAAATCCTTTGTTTAGTAGTACAATACATTTTATATATTAACGATTAAAGGTTCAAGGGAATATATATTTTTATACATTAACAATTAAGAAAATATTTTATTTGTTTAAGTTGTTATTATTGTTCTATTTTTTAGGTTGTTTAGGCTGCATATTCTCTCTTTGTTTATTTTTATTTTATTTTTTTATTATCAATTGTCTTATTTTTGTAAGTAAAAAAAAAAAAGGGTTTTTGAAGGGAAATTTTTTTATTGTGAACGTGACACGTGTACTTCGGGGATTATGCGGGTGATTACTTATTTACTTCAGTATATACAATTGATTTTAAATTGTAATTATTATATATATTTTGTCCATCAAGAGTCGTTTGGTCATAACTCTAGTTGAGGTTTTTTAAATATTATTTTCATGCTGCAGGTGTTGGCAATAGTATTTGGCTGTGTGCCTTTCTTGAAGAATTTAATCTTTACAAGTGATGCTCCTCTATATTTTTTCACTGACAGCTGCATGATTCTTGGGTAAGCTTGTTAATCTCTTTTCTATTAATTTCAAGGAAAATTTATTGGTATGATAATATCAGCTTCATATTTTTATTGATCGGAGATTGTTCTCTAATTAGTTTCACATTTGTCCCCCCCAATAAAACCTCTGAAGAAAGGTGTTTAAATGAATATGTATTGCAGCTTCTAACAATAACTCAAGAAAAGTTTATGCTCTTTATAAAAAAATAGGGGGTTGTTAGTTGTTACACAACAATTCTTACATTTGATTTTTTTTTCCTAGGGAGGCTATGATTCCATGCATTTTGTTGGCATTGGGAGGCAACCTTGTGGATGGTAAGCTAACTTTTTGCAAGTTCTGTGATTTGCTGATTATTTTCTTAGTGGTGGTTCTAAGTGCGGGCCTGTCTTCTTTGATTTTAGTTCCAAGGAAATAGAGGATCAGAACTGAGTAGTTGTGTTGTTACATGCAGGACCTGGAAGTTCAAAACTTGGTTTTAGGACAACTGCTGCTATAGTTTTTGGGCGGTTGGTGTTGGTACCCCCAGCAGGGCTTGGCATTGTGACTCTGGCTGATAAGTTGGGCTTCCTTCCTGCTGGTGACAAGATGTTCAAATTCGTGCTTCTCCTTCAGCACACAATGCCCACTTCTGTACTTTCAGGTACTTTTTTGTAACAAATTTTAGTACACTACATTACAGCAGTTGTTTATTATATTTCAGCAGTGACAAAAATCTTACTGCCACACTTATTAGTTTATTGACTTGTTAGTGGTCATGCCTATATACTCAATGTTTTGTAGGTGCTGTGGCGAACTTGAGAGGATGTGGGAAGGAATCAGCTGCAATACTGTTCTGGGTTCATATATTTGCAATTATTTCAATGGCTGGATGGATTGTGCTATACATTCACTTACTCTTCTGAGAATTCAAGATGTCTTTCTTTGCCGAATGCTATCATTTTTTGAGATCAACTAAATTGGAGAGTTGAGATAATATATGCCTTGTACAACTAAATTTACAAGTCTAGTTGGATCCATCCGTGATCGCTGGGAACAGCAAATAGAGAAGACTTTGCTCATTGTTCAGATGATGCTTGGCTGCTAATGGTTTTGGAAAAGCAGCTTTGTACATATGATGCTGGTTATGCCTATGTATACTTTAGTTCAATTACTTGTGGTTATGTCAATTATGATTAAATCTTTTTGAAATTCATTAATTTATATCTATATTCAGTAAATTGATTGATTGATTGATATAATGATATTCAATACTACGTATATTAGTAGGATAACATTGACTTTATGAAAACCCTTAAAATTGAGATCATGTATTCAAATCATAAAGAAAAATTTAATCTGGATGTAGAGAGTGCCACATGAACAATGATCTACCCTAACGAAAAATGGCAGCATTGCCCAGGTTTCTTGAGTGAAATAAAGAAATCAGATAGTTTCAGGCTACGGAGCAAATCTATGTTCTGTACAAAAGACCCTTTACAATCAGCAAAATCATAATTTTACAGAACCCTGTCTATATTTTGCAGGCTCAGACAGACAGACAGACAGACTAAAAGTTGCATTAGCAAACGTTGATTCAAAACCTGATGACTCTGAGAAGTGAGAACTGAAGCGATGAATCCTACAATGAACATATGACACTATGGCAGTAGTATCCCATTCTTACAGTTATGGACAAGAGCAGAAGCAGTAGCTTTCAGCATCTTTTACACTCCGCATGACTAAAACCACCACCACCACCTCTTTTCCCGCTCATTGCGGGAGCCTGAGCCAGAAGGTTGGATGGGTTGTGGAGGCCATCCATTTGAATTAGTTTGCCCATTTGAACTTCCAGCTAGAGAATTGCCCAACCAAAGCACCAAGACAATTCCTGCTAGGCCAAATATAGGAGCGGCTGCCGAGAATAACCACCCTCCCCTCCTACCATTGGTGTGTGAAATAATTGCCGGAGGACCTAAATCACCCAATGCAGCAGCAAAATCTTGAGATTCATCCACTTCACTTGTATCAGTGGCAACTGAAAAACCATCATCCCTACCCTCCTGGATTTCAGAACTGAACATTCTATGGCTAGCGTGGCGCTTGCCTCGCTCATAATCTCTGTCATCGGTTGGGAGTTCATATCGACAAAGGGGGCAAGAATTCCTCGCACTCAACCACGGCAATATACAGGATGGATGGTATAGGTGACAGCAGGGCAGCTGATTCACTTCAATGCCAATCATCAACAAATCTTTACAGATTGCACAAGCCAAGCCATCAGGTTTCAGATGCTCATCAGTAATGACTACGAGGGGCAGTTTATCAATGAAAGACACAGCTGCAGGAGGTGCTCCTCTTCTTGCATTATCAGTCTCAGTAAGATGATCCAAAAATTCTTCAAATACTAAAGAATCAAGATAATTTGCAGGATCACCACTATATGGTGCTTCACCAAACACTTCCATGCTTGCAGGGATGCTGGGAATCTGGAGGTCCCTAACTTCCCTAATTCTCCGGCGAATCATCCTCTCAAACTCAGAAGAATCTGTTCTACTATGTTCAACAAAATAATCATTGCCAGCACTTGAATCAATATGAGCTCGAATTTCACGAGGCCTAACTGTATTCTCCTCAGCATCAATTTCTTCCCACTCACCATCTTCTACTTCATCCTCATCAGAATTCCAGTGCACAATACCAGCATGCATTGGATCAATATCAGTGTCACTGTCAATATCACTTCTCTCCATAGATTGGACAAATAAGTCTATGTCAAAGTAGGTATGATCATCAATTGAAACACCAGAGTCACCTTCATAAGTACTAAATGACAGAGCATCACTATTACTATGATAAATCCTGTGTCCACCAACGCTGACATTAGATTCACTCTCTCCATAAAACGAATCGGAGTTGAATCCTTCACTTCCTGTCTCAGAAAATAGTCTCCGCCATCTACTAGAACCATTAGGTGTTGTATTAGAACTAGCCGGCTGCAGTACCATCACATTAGGATCGGTATCTCCACGAACATCTTCATGCTCAGGCTCAGTATGTCGTGCTAGGCTAATTATTTGTGAGAACTGTTGTGAGAAATTTTCAATGACCTCAGAACTTCCATTAATTGACCTTCCTCCAGAGACCCTTCTTCGAAGAGAGTTGTGTGCTGGGGTGCCAAAATCTTCAACCAGCAAAAATTTACAGTCATCACATATGTTGACACTTTGGAGACCACTATTATTTTCATCCTCCAATGATAGAGTTCTTCCACAAAGACCACATGCCTCAGGCATTTCTACACGATCATTTGTCGAGCCATTATTGACGTGACCAGGCAAATTAGAATGAGGTGATACTAGTGTATTAGTTTGCAAGTCCAATTCCATCTGTAATATTCATAAAAAAGGTTTAAAATGTGGGAGGGCACATATTATCCAAACGAGATATCAAAAGACCTTAACTACATGAAAAATTGAAAATAGAAATACAGAGATCAAAGAGAAAAGTTGTCAGAAAAAAATTTCAACATATTTCAAAAAAAGATGAGCAGATTGAAAGCTTATAAGACCAATAAAAGCATCAGGATTATAAAATGTCATAATAGGTGGACAGATAATACTTTTAGAAAATAGCACATCAAAAGTCACTCTGCTTCTTAAATATCGGCATGCTAATCAAGGAATCCTATAATTGACAAACATTTTCCTTCATATTACTCAAACAACAAAACACAAACAAATAATTAGGGGAGGAAAAAAGGGTAAACCGGTAAAGTTGGAAGGAAAAAGGCATAGAACCATTGTATTGAACAGTAAACAAAATACTTTTTTTTAATTTCCCAATAAAAAGATGACTAATCCCTTTATGTTACTCCATTAACAAATTAAATGATAATTAGGGGAGGAGGCAGGGGTAAAGTTGGGAGATAAAGGCCACACAATGTTCCATAGATTCTGAACTGTAAACAAAGATCTTTCAAACAAAATATGAAAATGCCGAAGTGATTATTACACCACTCTACAGTAATTCATTTTTAATGGGATCTGCAGAAGCACCCAAATAGATTGGTCTGGAGTATATAGAGTAAAAAAGGCAGCTTTCTACTTTCTAATATGGAAAATCTGTGATGCACCATAGCAGAGCACCTGTGAATCACATACGTGAGACGCCAAAAAAGACAACCAGGTAATAGAGAAGGGATTGCAGGCAGGCAAGGTGACTGAGCTGCCAGAAGAGGACAAAGAAGGTGATCAGAGCAGGTGTAACATCCTAGGTATTGATGTATTCGTAATAAATAGCAAAGAGAGGGAGTGGAGAGGGCATTGAGAAGTAAGACCTTAATTTGAGTGAACTGGGAGAGTATGTTAGCTTCTCAAATGCTCACTGCTGTAATTAATATATATATATATATTTATATATATATATATATATATATATATATATATATATATATATATATATATATATATATATATATATTGTAACACTCTAGTGAGTATTTATAAGTAATAGAATAAGTTCAAGCAATAAAGATTCAATCTTGGGGAGAAAGGCAGCTATTTGATTAATTCGAAAATGGAGTAACAAGCACAAGAGTAGCTTGAGGCTACTAATCTCGGACTTAGCACCTTTAGGGCACCACTCTCTAGCTCTAAGAAATTACAATGATCTTGCCTGCCTCGCACATCCTACCCTCCCTTTCTTATATATACATAATCTGCCAAAAGAAGGAAAACAACAAAAGTTGTTGCTGCAGCTGTCAAGGCTATTCCCTGATTGGTGGTGGCTGCTCTGTGACTGCCCTGCTGTCCATTCTCTGACATTCCATTCCAATTTGCTGACCCCTCCTCCTCCTTCTTGCATAAGTGATCAAACCACGGCCCTTGTTGAGTATTGTGTCCGTTACATTCCCTCCCCCTTGAAGACTCACCTTGTCCTCAAGGTGAAAGGTAGGAAAGCGCTCGGAGATGAGTGAGGCTTCTTCCCATGTGGCCTCAAGTATGGGTAAGCCCTCCCATTTGATCAGCACCTCCAACTCCGAGGGTGAGCTGCTAGATTTCCTGACATCCAGCACCTGCTGAGGCTCTGCTTGCAGCTCCAGCGGAGCTCTTCTGTCAGCTGGGTCGGTATGGTGGGGCTCACTCCTTGGCTGCCTAGTGCTCTTTTTAGCCGAGAAACGTGGAAGACTGGGTGCACTCGGCAAGAATCAGGCAGGCCCAGCTTGTAGGCCACCTTTCCCACGCGTTGCACCACCAAGAACAGTCCATAACAACGCGGAGAGAGCTTCTCATTATGCCTCTTAGCAAGCTATTTTTGTCTATATGGCTAGAGCTTTAGATAGACATAATCTCCTACTTGGAACTCCTCTTCCCTTCTCTTTAAATCGGCATTGGCTTTCATCCTATGCTGAGCACGGAGCAAATTCATTTTCAAATCTTCGAGCACCCAATCCCTCTCTTGTAACCACACCTCCAAACTATCTACCGGGGTTTGGCCTCTACCCACCTTAATTAGCTTCGGAGGGTCTCTTCCATAGACCACTCGGAAAGGGGTGAACCCGATTGACTCATGGTGGGCGGTATTGTAAGCAAATTCAGCCCAATGTAACATTTTCCCCAAGACTTGGGCTGCCCATTCACGAAGCACCTTAGATAAGTTTCCAAGGTCTTGTTGACTATTTCAGTTTGGCCGTCGGTTTGGGGATGGTATGCGGTGCTTCTTTTAAGTTCCGTGCCTTGTAACTTAAACAACTCACGCCAAAAAATACTCATGAATATGCGATCCCGATCCGAAACTATAGAGCTAGGGAAACCATGGAGCTTGACCACCTCTTAAACAAAAATGGCAACCACTGTAGCAGCACTATAGGGGTGTTTTAAACCCACAAAATGCGCATATTTAGAGAGTCTATCTACCACAACCAAGATAGAATTCATCCCCATCGAATTTGGAAGACCTTCAATGAAGTCCATTGAGATGTCCTCCCAAATGGCCTCGGGAATGGGTAGGGGTTGTAGTAGTCCCGCGGGTTGCATTTGGGAATGCTTTGCTTGTTGGCAGGTGGGGCAGCGTTGTACATGCTCTCCGATGTCCTTCCTCATACCAATCCAATACCACTCCAAAGCAACCCTCAAGTAGGTTTTGGTCTCCCCTTGATGTCCTCCAATTGGGCTATCATGGTACTCTCTCTAAGAGTTTGGGAATTAAGGTGGATGACCTGGGTATTGCAACCCTCCCCTTAAACAACAACCTGCCATCTTCTACTGTGTACCCCACGTAATTCCCCTCCCCTTGCTTCACTGCTGCTGCTATTTTTCCCAAAAGGTTATCCGCCTCAACCTCTCTTTTCACCTCATCCCACTTGATCCCTTGGATGGAGGTCATGGCTGCCATTTCCAACTCCGAACTACCCCTCCTAGAGAGTGCATCCGCCACCCTATTGCTAGCCCCCGGCTTGAATTGGATTTCAAAGTCGAAAACCAACAACTTGCGCACCCATTTTTGATAGTCTCCTCCCACTTCTCGTTGCTCCATCAAATATTTCAAGCTTTGTTGATCCGTCCTCACCACAAAATGACGGCCCAACAAGTAGTGGCGCCACTTGACAATGGCAAGACAAATCGCCATTAATTCCTTCTCATAAGTGGCTTTTGCTCGCGACTTGGGCCCCAACAACTTGCTGTAAAACGCTATAGGCCTTGAGTCTTGCATTAACACCGCTCCTAGATCATAGCCCGAGGCGTCGGCCTCCACCACGAATAGCTTGCTGAAATCTGGCATCACCAACACCGAGCATCTCTTGAGTTGCTCGGTCAATGGTTTAGCTATTTGGGCATACCCTTTAATGAATTTGCGATAGTACCCGATTAGCCCCAAGAAACCCCGCAATTCTTTCAAATTTTTAGGAGTAGGCCACTCCACCATAGCCTTGACTTTCTCCGTGTCCACGGCTACTCCATCTTGGGACACCACGTGACCCAAATAAGCCACTTGCGGCTGCCCAAACTCACACTTCTTAAAATTTACCACCAAGCTATGCTCCTTGAGCAATCCCAACACTACTCTCATGTGCTCTCGATGACTCTCTATGTTGGGGCTATAAATCAAGATGTCATCGAAGAACACTAGCACGAATTTTCTCAAGTGAGGTCGAAACACTTCATTCATTAAGGCTTGGAAAGTGGCGGGTGCATTAGTGAGCCCGAAGGGCATCACCAAAAATTCGTAGTGACCCTCATGGGTCCGGAAGGCCGTTTTATGTGTATCCTCCTCCCTCACAAGAATTTGGTGGTAGCCCGATTTAAGGTCGAGCTTGGAAAAGATGGCAGCCCCGTGAAGCTCATCCAAGAGCTCATCTATAATAGGAATGGGGTATTTATCCGGAATTGTCTCCCGGTTCAAGGCACGATAGTCTACGCAAAAGCGCCACGAACCATCCTTCTTTTTAACCAACAAAACCGGGCTTGAAAAGGGACTCGCAGACGGCTTTATGATACCGGCAGCCAACATCTCCCTAATCATCCGTTCAATCTCATCTTTCTGAAATTGGGGGTACCGGTAAGGTCTCATGCTCACCAGGTTGCTCCCCTCCAACACAATTGCGTGTTCATGACCCCTCTTGGGTGGCAACCCCTTAGGGTCAGCAAACACACCTTGAAATTCCTCCATTACATCACCCAACCACCAGTGGTTCGACCTTCCCCTCACTCGAGTTCATCTCCACATGGTTGATTTCTACCCATAAACCTCCACCCTCGTGTCTCAAGGTTTTTATCATCGCCTTGAGCGACACCTTTGAGCGTTCCAAGGCTGGATTCCCCACCAAGGTTACCCTACGATCACCTACCATAAAACTCATTATGTGTGCTTTCCGATTGTGCGTGACTGACCCAAGCTTCTTTAACCATTCAATCCCCAAAATCAGATCGGCACTGCCCAATTTAAGTGGCAGAAAGTTGTCTACCACCACGAATCCACCATTCAAGACCACCCTTACCCCTGCACATCTCCCCTGCCCACAATCACATCTCCATTTCCGAGCGACACCCCAAACTCACGGTCACCACTCACCGGAACTCCCACCTCCGTCACTAACACATCGGAGATAAAGTTATGGGTGGCACCGGGGTCCACTAGTATCACCACCGGTTTAGGGCCCACCCTCCCTTCCAATTTCATAGTTCTAGGTTTCGAAAACCTACCAAAGAACAGAGAGAAACTCTGGCAGCTACTTCGTCGTCGCTGGAGTCCAATTCCGGCGGCTTGGATGGCCCACGTCTTCTTCGCTCCCCAGCAATAGCACGCTGAGTTCTCGATTCTTGCAGCGGTGACCCACACTCCACCGCTTGTCGCATCGGAAACAAAGCCCCTTGGCCTTGCGCTCTTG